TTAAGCATCCACTAAGAAATATGTTTTGGAATTTTTACCCCTAAGGGGGTAAAATAAGGGAAAGCCGTTTGTATGGCAGTTCGGAATTTTCAAAGTTAGAAACACATAATTAGTAACAATCACGCGTGCGAAGCTGCTTCCAATAGCTAGTTGGTACATACATACTATACCTACCTATCACTAAGATGGTTTGAAGAAGGTAAGTTCTCAGTGCAAACATAATGTCTTTTTGGGGGACAGCGTGTTAGGTGCTCATACTCGTGGAATTACCATATGTCGTGTTCAATGTTAGGGAAGTTATATAAAACATCCAATGCCATAGACGGGGTTATTGCGACAAAAATAAGTTGTACAGCCCATTGTTTCGACATGTGATGGATTTTTAAGGATTATTAAAGGTTTTACATTTTAAGTATAAAATTAATCTTATATCTTTTCAAAATCATAATTGCTTATAATGCGTCTAAATAACTTAGGTTTTAAAATATTATTTATCTTGTGCACTTCATAGATGTAGCTTAAGCATTAAAGAAAACATTCTAATGCACATGATTGCCTAATGTATCGTGAAATATAGATACTTTTACACCTAATTAGTCTTTTACACTATCAACACAACAACTATCAACTGAAAAGTAACAAGGAAATGGCCTGAGTTTTCAGCCAGATCGATTCCTTCTGTATCTACGTAGCGCCTATTGCGTTGGCAATTATACATTCATATATCTATATGAATTAATCTAATCTAAATAAACCAAAACAAAAATATAAATCAAGAAAACATTATTTGTCCCTTTTCCTATGTCCCTGAACTATTCATATTTAAAAAAAAAAATAGTTTTGCATTACTACCTCGAGGCGTGATCCTTCCATTCTATATAATTTGTACACAATATGGGAATAGTTCTTAGATTGCGTATAGTTCTCGAATATTTTCCCTTTTTATACTGACGAGCTTTATAGTATGCTAATAATATTTTGCTTAAGCGTTAGAACCCTAGTAACACTTATTGTCTGCTTGAAGGTTTTTTTTAGGAAACTATGATTCGAACCATACTCTATATATGTTACAATTAGAGTAAAGCCATTTTGGTCCCTCAACGGATCCCTCCGTGAAATGAAGACAGTCAAAACCGCCCTTTGAAAGTTCATCGCAGCTCAGTTAACGTTCATTTTACGATAAAAATATACCGAATATTTAGACCGAGGACCGTAATGCATACTAATAATGAATACTTTAGACGTCCCTGGTTCAATCAAATCGGTAGCTTGTAAACTTTTAAGGCTCTTGTAACGACTTTTATATGTTGTAATTAAGTTTTAATACGTACGTAGCTTCGTTGAGCAATACGACTTTTCATTTAAAGTTACAGTACGTATTAAAAAAAAAATCATCAAGCATCTTCTGCCAAGAGCTGCATAGTAACCAGTTTTGTAATTTTTGAGCACTAAAATCTAACATCAAATGATAAATATCAAATCAAATTTAAGTCCCACGTCCCAAACAAAAGTTCAATCCCGATTACCCAAATAAAAACAATATTTATCCAAATACCTATGAGCAACATAATGAAAAGATGTTTCGATACTGACGATGACGGCCGTCTCATCGGAAATGAGATTGAGCAAGCGACAAAAAATGTATTAAGGCTACCAAATTTAAATCTATAAGACACAAATACACCGTAAGAGGTCCCTAACTGTATTGTAATTCGTTTAAATGGGCCCCGTTGGACCGCTAACAGCGTTAAGATTCGAATACCTAATAAGGAAAACTGTAATAGAGGTGTTTTAATGTGGAAGCAACTCTTATGGCGTGGGAATTAACTGACACATCATGAAGTTTTGTTTATCTTTTAAAGGGATGAATGTTATTTTAAATTTCTGTGTATCTACCATGTTTTATCTCTGCATCTGCATGAATGGTAGAAAATGCCTACGGCATTAAGTCCGCCTTTGTCACATTTGTGCATAAAAAATAAAAAATGTCTCCTTTGGGTCCACTTGATACACACTGCATATAATATGTCCGTGTGGTGACGGAATAATAATACGGAGTGTCAACACCCCTATTCATCCCGTGGGTGTCGTAAGAGCCGACTAAGGGAGCAAACTACGCAGGACAACTTACAGCACTGCAAAGAGAAGGAAAACTTGAAACAAACCCTATACCAACCCATCTGGCCAGCGTGGTATAGTAGGCCCAAACCTCCTTTCTAAGGAGAGGCCTTTTTTTTGTTGACGGGGTGGAAAATTCCTTCGGATCTCCTGCTCCTCGGGGACTCAGGAGCCAGGAGTACGTGGTGATTCCACTAAAAACCACCCCGACGGCCGGCCTCAGGTGTCCTACTCTGGAAAGGACCCGGACCATGTCATTTCAGGTCCTCCCCGAATTGACACCATGCCTAATCAGGCTTTCATCATTCATTCAATTCATGCCGTGGGTGTCGTAAGAGCCGACTAAGGGAGTAAAGTACGCAGGACAACAACACCGCAGAGAGAAGGAAAACTTGACACAAACCCTATACCAACCCGTCTGGCCAGCGTGGTATAGTAGGCCAAAACTTTCTTTCTAAGGAGAGGCCTATGTCCAGCAGTGTACTATTAAAGGCTGTTGATGATGATGATGATGACTTTTGAAATTAGATAGATAGATAGATAGAAAACTATTTATTTGTACACCGTTTTACAAGTAGTATTGTACATAAAATATCAGAAATGTATTGTACAAAGGGCGCCCTTATTGCTAAGAGCAATCTCTTCCAGGCAACCTTAAGATGGATTAAAATGTTTGGAGAGATAGTAGTACTTGAAGGTGTATTGAGTTTTGACTGGTTGATTACTAATGAACATTAAAGAGGTTAAATTAAAGAAATAGTAGTAGTAAAAAAAGCATAACAAAGTTTCATATAAATTTCCAAGCCCCATTTTGCACACTTAGCGGTGGAATTTTAAAAAATTTCTTAGTGCGGAACTTCCCTTATGGAACGTCACTTACGGAACATTTGTGCAAAATTTCATGCTTCTAGACCAAACTGTTGAGCATTGATCGATCAGTTAGTGAATCGGACTGTCAGTTTTCTCCTTTATATATATAAAACATTAAAAAAACAATCTCTTCGTTAAAAGTAAAATTTAGTAAAATTGTTTAAACTTAATAAAATTAATCAAACTGAGAAAAAATTAAATAACTTTGGTTAATAATGTTTTTTTTACACAAATAGAAATGTATCACGTAGGTACTCATCAAATATTACAGCACGTTTTACACACTCTAAACGACGCTCTCAAATCTTTTCAATTTTGTACTTACACTTTATTTTACATAAAGGTGTTCGTGACAGTCAAATACCGCTGGGAATTCGGAAAGAATCGTGTCGGCAAATCTTTTTAGTGCAATAAAATTGAGTGCCGTCTGAATTGAGGTGTAAAAGTAAAGGACTGTCCTGCAAGGCCGCAGTGAGCTCACACGTGTAAAATTTAATAGCCTCTCGACCTAATGGTGTCTAATAAAATGTTAAAGCATTCAGTAACTCTTTGTCCCTTCTTTACTATTCAAACAAATTTCATGCCGATACTGCTGTCTGCAATGTAATGAATAACAAGAATAAACACTTGGCTCTGATGGCTCCATTAAAGCACATTCATTATGGAGCAACTGTGACTTTCATGAGACTGATATAAGTTGAACTTCGTTGAAATAAAAACGTAAACCTAATTTTAAAGAGAGAGATAGCAGAGAACGACTTCTCATAGCCTCCTTTACTTTTTTGTTACCGAACTATTAGATTAACTAAAATTAAACTTTATGCATAGATTAAGCAATGTATTATTTACACTTCTCATTCTCGTGCTGATATGTTATTTTATATTTTACATTCTTTAATACAATAACTCTATAGTCATAAAAGTCAAATATATTTATTTTAACACGTTAAAAAATAAAAATTCCACCGCTAATAAAAGTAGTTTTAACTAGCTATGTATCTCAAAGAATCGAAATACATTCGATTCTTTGAGATACATATCTGTTGAAAATAGATTTAAAATCCATACATTTCTCATTAAAATATATTTATATCATATGCAAAAAGTCGTCTCCAAGTTGTCTCTAGAAGAATTTAAAAAAGATTTCATGTTATGTGCCTTTGTCTCCTACATGTCTCAAAAGTAAACAAAGGCCAATAGAATCTGGACTAAAGATGTTGGGCTGATTTCACTGCAGAAATGCTGTTTTGATTACCCATGTGAATGTAGTACAGTTATAAGCAATGTATATTTGCAAAAAAATACCGCTACTTGGTCACCCTTCACCCTTGGTCAATTCCTTTGTTTCAAAACTAATCAGGTAGCTTAATATCACCAGGGACTTCCTTTCTAGGGTATACCTGGTTCCTCGGCTATTAGTACCCGAGACAGCGTGCGGTTTTAGTCGGTTCGAGTCCGACATGCCACCGACAGGTGGTATCCGAGGGGATTTCCGCACAGAAAACAAAAAAGGTAGCTTAATATGTACTTTATTCCTTTTCAAATCCCTTTTAAGTTAAGATATTTTTTAAGTAAAGATCTTTAATTAAAAAAAATACTTTTTCTACTTTAATAAAATGTTTTATAACTCACTTAAGCTTCACGAAAGTGAAACTTTCAGTATCGTAACAAACATTGTGTATAAATGAAAAAAATATAAAATCGATTTGTATCTTAAATTCAGACGGATACTTCATAAATATAATGAAATATTTTAGGTACGTATGCAGTATAATTAGATTATAAGATTTTTAATGGTATGGCAACTGCAAATTGAGAAATTCATAATAAAAAACTGTTTTCAATGTGTAATAATACCAAAATAAAACTGTTACTTAAAAAAAAATCACACGCACAACGATCACAATTGCTAAAACAAAATTCATCATTGACAGTTGGAGAAGTTTGGATGCAATGACTCTAACACTACAAACATACCAGCGTGAAAACGACCCCTAGCGGGCCGCAGACAGTCATGCGGGAAAAGGCCGGTTGTAGCAAGAAGCGCGGGTAAACATACGACACGTACGTGGGCGTGCGGCGAAGTGATTGCGCGACACATGCAGGCGTGCGCCCCTGGCGCCACCTGGTAGTCCATGTAGTTCCCGTAGCCCATGTGATCGCAGGTACAGGTACAGTTCTCGATATGCCGTCGCAACTCGAGCTCGAGCTCCCACGGCGGCTCCATTAGCACGTCGAGGCGAGCGGGCGCGCGCCGCGGCGTGCCCGCGCCTCCGCGCGCTGCGAATGCGGCCCCGGGCCGGGCGCGGGCCGCACCTGCGCGACGCCACCTGCCTTCCCGCCCCCCGCCCGGCTCGCTCCACCATACAACAGGGACTAGTGCGGCTCGACGCTGGCGAAGCGGCCCTCGCAGCGAGCTCGAGGCCCTGCGTCCGGAGAGCGACGAGCCGCGTCGCGCGGCAGTCCTCGCGTGTCGGCGCACATAGCGTGACGGCCGCCTGCCGGCTGGGGAATGCCGCGCCGAGAGCTCGGCCGGGCCCTAGACCCGGGCGACCCGGCCGCGCCGGCGCCTCGAGCTCCACGTGACAGCCCGCCCTCGGCACAAGCCCCCGACATCTCACCCCTCTCCTGCTGCGACTCTCACCACCGGACACGTCTCTCAGATGCACAATCTTCAACCATCAATTAACTCTGCGACGTTTGAATATTAGTCTGCATTTAATTGTAGATTACTAACAAAACACAATAAATACTACATTAATAAAATATGTATAGTTACATGCAGCTTAACATCCATCCATGCTTTAACACAATTTGATTAAAATATTAAACAAAAAAACAGTAACTTTAATCAAAATTCATAAATATGAGGTCAGAAACTGTCACGGAAATGATTTTAGCAGAAGCTTCTTTTCAAATTGTAACGTTTTTATTCAGATAAGATGAAGCCATAAAGCGCAGTAAAAATGTCCCTTATAAAAATTCAATACCTTAATTAAATGAAAGTTTGCTAGTCAACTTTTAAATTAAAAGAAGCAATATGAACAAGCTTATAAATTAATATGGTTACAAAGTTAAATGCGAAACTTGTGTTGCGGCTTTGTAGTTCGCGAACCGTTCAACACAAACTCGTATAATACCGCATATTACATGCTAAAATTTCCTTTACGTGAATTAAATTTGTACCGATCTATTTGGCGGATTATGTATTCGAAGTCTGAAAGCTTTTATCTTTAAAGTTATATATATATATAAGGATACCGCAAAAAGTTTATTTGAATTGTATTTAATGTTATTTAGAGAATTGTTTTGGTTTATGTTTAACATAATATTATAAAGACATAATTGAAATATATGACTGTACAACAGGGAAATGTTACTAGGTATTACTCGTTGATAAATTTAAGAAAATGTAAAATAAGTGAGGCATGGTAGTCTGTTTGAAGTAGTCAGTGGCTTCGCACCTATTTCATACCTGTAAATGACAAACTACAACACTTCAAAATCTAGCTTTTATGACAATCATACTATACCTGTACGCGCACTATACTCAGAGCAACATTAGAAGCTAATTCCTAAATAAGGAGATTGAAAAGGATCAACGTTGTTGATCTTGACAAAGTTGTTGATTTAAGTTCACCAAAACAATTGTTTTCAAGGAAAGGTAGAAAATGCAGATGCCCGAATGGAGGTTCGAGTCCTTTCAGATGCCACATCAGGTCAAAAGCCTTTTAAAGCATCGGCATAACCTTAAAGCTTATACACGTCTGTCGAGTGTCAACATCATTTGTTATGGATGTATGTAAAATCGATTTAATTCGGATCAGATTAAAAAATAAAAAGAAATAATAGCAATAGGTCCTGAACCAATCGAACCAATCGTATGGATTGCTCACATCAGTGATACGACACGTCACACTAAGGTATCACATTACAAATTCTGTACAAAGGCGTGTGGATGCATGCCTACATAAAGAAACTTACTATCCATGATCAATACTACGACAAATAACTCATGTGGTCACTAATCATGGTCCATAGCAATAGTAGTCATCTTTTTTTCTTTTTTAACGTGTGGAAGCCCCCTCGGGCCGTCACCCGTGTGTCGGAATCGGACCGACTAAAACCACACGGTGTGCCACTATGCGCTTATAATAGGAGTAATCCAGGAACTGGTGTTCACTTCTAGCCAATATCCTCTGAAAGGAGGAGGAGGCAGGCCATCCCGGCTTCCTCAATAAGACCTTCACGCTCTTCCAGCACTCAGGAAAACGTCCTGACGCCAAGCTAGCATCGACTACCTCCCTGAGGCGGTCTACCATGTGGTTGAGGGCTAGGGCCAGCACTCAGGCCGGTATACCGTCTGGCCTAGAGGCGATCTTCTTGGAACGGATCCGTAGAACAGCAGCCCCTACCTCTGAATCCCGGACGGGACGTTTCTCCAATAGTAGTCATCGACGCTGAGCTCACAGCAGGCGTAGGGTTGCCGGAAGCAGCTCGTGAATACCATACTACAATAATTTTGACTCCCACGCTTAATCATTTGGGTAACTTAATGCTGGTATTTTATGAAGCTTAAGCATTTTCGTGAATATATCACCTCATAATAAACAAATCAAAATAACGTAATACACAGTAGGCAAGAGTTAAGTAGTTTGGCGGCAATTCGCAAATATTACAATCATGTCCAACGTCCGTGTGTCCTTATTCCACTGCAAATTAATCCTCAATTTTTTATTTAACTCATTTACCTGTATCATTTTTACCTAAAAACCTTTCATTGATGATACTTTAATGGTCTTATAATATTTAAAAAATAATTCCCAAATAATTGGGCACATAACCTTCTACCAACGATAGATTCACTAGATATTATGAAGAGATTTTATTTCATTTAACGGTAGTAAATGTGTACGTAAGTGCATTCACTCCTTTCCGAATCGGATAATTTTTACAAGTATCTGTCTATAATCACCTTACTCTATAATTTCTATCAATAGATTAGAAACCATACTCATTTACTATCGTAGCATGTATGAGCAATACATAGAAAGCAGACTGTGAGTAATAATAAATCACTGATTTACAAGATCTGTTTAATGCTCAACCATCATCTATACAATTCTCAAGCACTTTTTATTAACGGAATTAGGACGCAGGTGGCCTGGAGCAGAGAGGCTGGATGCGTGCGCAACGGCCGCGCCACGAGAACGCGCTCGGGGGAGCGCGCGGCAGTCGGCATGAGGCGCGTGCGGAGTGTTACGGGGCCCCTTCGACGCGCCCACCCCGCGTCGGGGGCCACCTGGAACGTCCAGGTACTCTCAATGGATACAACCTCCCGCCTAACTGTTAGCTAAGTTCTGCATAATGTTTCTTATATTCCCGTCCGTGACTGTTCCCGGGGCTGCTTTGTAAAATCAAGTGTAATCATAATCATCTCGTCGATATGATCAGTAAAACTAGAACTCAACAGTTGGGCGAAGACTTGTTGCAGTAACAGCTCTGATCTCTGAAAACATTAAAATATACACAATAACAAACTTATTTATCTTTTATTAACAGCGATAACCAACAAAACAACGATTTGACAATGTACATAAAGTATGAGAATGTCTTCAGAGACTGCTTTTTTCTTTTGGTTTAAGTCGGTAAAACTTATTCGGTTGTGAAGTTATTATTCGACATCATGCATCGATCACAAATGTGCTGGACCTCGCAATTATTTTTGTGTGAAGTTCATGACAAACAAACGTTTACATTGTTACATTTCTTTAACTTAAAACCGGATCGGATCAAGTATTTCTGTACTTTTGTGAAAACGTATGAAAACAATGCCAAATAAATTATATTTAAAAAAATTAAAAGACGCGCTTAACTTTTTCACCTTCAACAAATTATTTCCAACTTTGTAAATGCTGAAATGAGCTGAAATGTTGAAAATAATTTTCTGGAAGTTCAAAAAGAAAAATCATTTAATCGTAAAAATGCGTGAGGTGCTAGATCTCAATTGTTGTAAAAATATTTTATTGACAGAAATTGGTAAAAGTAAAGTTAGGATTTAGCAATTACTCTATACACTTAGAACTTATCAAAATGCATCGAATGATGTTACATACTAGATGGTACTCTAGGAATATGGTTAACCTACCGTAGGTTAACCATATTCCTCGAGTACCTTGGTCATTTTCTACAATTGCATGAATTAGAAACACCTAAACGCTATGAGCGGTCTCCTTAAGCGCAAAGTTAGTAATAATAATGATAATGATGTTAATAATAAGCACATAAACACGTAATGTAAACAGGTGGTGCGAGGCAAGATGAGTTCACAATGTTTATGGCACGCGTGTCGAGCACTGTCGGCTGGCCTGCTGCTGATGTTACTGGGAGCTGCGATGGCTGTCATAGGTAATAGCGTTTTTCGTATAATCTATTTACACTAGACCTTAAGTTTTACAATAGCGAATAAATATTCAATATCCAAATATACCAGGTCAGGTCCTTTGTGCCTCCGAACGACTTCAGTAACTGTGAATCTGCTTGAACTATAGTCATCTAAAGGCTCATCACAACTCTATTTGGAAAAAAAGAGGAACGTCTTTCTCACGATGTAAAACGAGATTTTTAGCCAAGATTTGTGTCACTAACTAAGATATGCATGAGAAATAGGTACAGGGACCTGGCTGACTGGAAGGGTTGCCCACCCTCCCAGCCAGCCAGCCAGCGCATCTTTGTCTGTGTGTCTCAAAAGGAATACATTTTCCCCCTTTTTGAAACATATATCATCGATGCTCCGCTCCTATTGGTAACGTGATATTATATAGCTTTCCTTATTAAATGACCTGTCAGATACTAAAAGAATTTGTCAATGCAAACCAGTAGTTCTTGAGATTAGCGCCCTCAACCAACCAATCTTCAGTTTTATAATAGTGTATATAAGAAAAAAAAATTGGGGATAAATACATCCTAACATTTACTTACGTCTTTATTTATCTTCCAATTCTAAAAACAGGCGTTGCCGCGTTGATTTGTAAATGTGTTTATCAATTAAGCATACATTCCAAATGCATTTCCGCATGTGTTGCGGGGAGCAACGTTTCCTACCGCACGTAACAGAGCTGACACTTCCGGCTTGAAGCCTCCGGCCACACGTGTTGTCTCACCGCCGCTCCGCCGTCACGATAGAACTCTCCACATAGCTGTTTCAATCCATTGTTGTCTTAAGATCCATTTTCTGATTGCTGCTCATATGGATGTGTCTTTGTACCTGTATTATACACAGTAAAATTAAAAAAAATCTTACCATAAAGTAAATACAAAAGGAAACATTATTTTGTTTGTATTTATATCTTTTTTACTCAAATAAGATGTATAAAATAAAATTTACGTAAAGAATATAGTTTAACCGCCTAATTACAAAAGCAAAAATAACACATTTATTTTCAAAAAATGGCAAAAATTTGGCACAAATGGGCCGGCTCGACCGTCGTGATGCCACAGCCTCACTGAAAACTAGTGTTTAGCAATATATTCATTGCTTTCCACTAAGTGCATGACGTTATTGGAGCCCAAACTGGGCTGAGGCAAGGAATATTCTTTATAAATGGTTATAAACCTCAGATTATAACACCACTGAAAAGATTTTAAAAATGTATTGTTAGTATATTATGCCTATTTGTTTATTTTTATCATTATTTTTTAAACATTTATATTTTGTTAATAAGCAAGATTTGCTCGAAACAGGCTTGCCTAGTGAGGAAACCTACGGATAACATACGCTCTCTGTAAAGTGTATGCCACTAAATTAAGTCATTCGTTTGTTATTACCTTATCATGTAACATTTTGCAGTAACAAACGATTTTTTTTTATTTAAACGAGAAGAGGGGCTCCGTTAACATCACTGGACTCAAAGGGCAGCAACGCACCCTGTGACTCTTTAGTTGCACGTGTCCATGGGAGGCGGTAGCCGCTCACCACCAGGTGACCCAACTGTTTGTTTACGGAGGGTAACCGCAATAAAATAAATTAGTATACCAAATACCCAAGTATTAATAAGAGTTTAAATTATACCAATACAATTGGCATAATTTAAACTCTTGTTAATCATTTCGTTTATCTGACTACTTTTGGAACAAAGTTCCTTATCGCGCGTTACACGCTCTGAGCGGATAGGAACGAGACCGAGAAATCTGTAATAAGACTTACTTCCGACACTTTTTGCTATAGCTACAGCCGTGAATAGCAAACGCCTACCAAAAAGCGAAAGGAACTTCATACCGAGTGTCCATAGACCCCTCACGCCGTTTTTTTTATTACAAAATATTGCAATTATTAATTGAGTCTTTATCTCCGAATCAGCAGAAGCATATAAAACGCCTATATTATAACCACCATATTTTAGGTCCCATTTACGTAATAAGGGTCCAACAAATTGACATCACTCGGGCAATGAACATGCCGAAATATATATAGATAATATACATTACATCAGATAATCACACATTACATACATATTATAGATAAATTATACTCAGATATACAACAAATATGGTCGTCATCATACAATAATTATATCTCTAGCTTTATTCAATTTATAGAACAATCCCTTTACAGTAAAACACTCCCGTAAATTACATAGAGCTCAGAAAAGCCCTGCCCTTGGATCCCCAGACATATTTATTTCTCTTTTAATTTTCTTTCTCAAAGAAAACCTTCGCACTAGGAATAATATTCTGTTTCGCGGGGATCTTACAAACAAAGTCTCCGGCCTTGGGGTACGTCATAGCTATGTGTCGTATTGTTTTCGCGCCAGATTTAGATATATTTTTTAAATGGCAGCTCCTATACTAGGAAAATATCCTGTATCTCGGGAGACTTTACAAACATACATAAAACGGACACAAAAACACCACGACTCAGAACAAAAAATTGTAGATCACACAAAGACCAGACAACCAACGAACAACAACACTCGTCGCAGTGGGACCGCTTAAACAACTACGATATACATGCAGTCAAATATATTAGGTTCATACTAATTTGCTTGTACTCTAGAAGGCTAAGTGAAGTACATTTAATCCTTAATATTTTTCCACAATAAAATGAAATTTATATTGACTGGTTTACCCAATTATTTGTGTACTAAATAAAAGAAACGTACATTAGTACTGCTATTAAAATTACATAAATCAAACCACTTATTTTTTAAGAGTCAATTAATGTGATTTGCTTTTCCAGGTTACTACGCGGACACTTTGTCGGTGGCGCAAGAGATCCGAGGCAATTCAACTGTGTCGGTGAAAGATGAGGCACGCGGATTTCATCTAAACAACCTATCGTATGCTGGGCCAATCGTTATGGGTTTTGGAGGTAAAACCAATATCAATTAACATGTTGATACTACTCACTTAAAAGGAGGTAAACAACTATGTTGGAATTAGTGCTACCTAAGCTATTCTATAACAATTGAACATGCTATTTTCTTTTGATTGTGAATAAAGTCAGCCTGTCTACAGTCAAATCTCAATCACAAACGGTATTCGCGAACGAATTTATTGGTTTAGTTTACGAATTGTACTTGATTCGACAACGCACAAGTAATACTGCTAGTGTTGCAAGTGATAGGGACAGGTGGCCCTTGGATTTACGAATAGTTTAGTCACTTCAGAATAATTTGAATAACTATATAAGATAACATCTTAGAGACAAGCGTCATTTTAATAGTTAAATGTAAGTTGTAAAGTTTTATAGTTTTACAATAGATTGGAAGGCGACAATCCTAATTAAGTTACCAATTTAGTAATATACTAACTATGCCCGGCATGTATTGCAATGAAACGTAAAGTATAAAGAAATTACCAAAAAAAACGGCGTAAAGGGTCTATGGACCCCCGGTCGGAACAAAATTCCTTTCGCTTTTTGGTAGATGCAATGCAATCATCATAATTTATATTATAAAATATTTTAGTAAGTTAATAATAGGTCTTTACCTATGACATTGCCGTTTTGTATGCAATAAGTGAAAGTACTTATTTTTTCAAACTTTTTTATTTCTGTTATTCGAAGTAATCACCCATGCAATCGACGCATCTTTGCCAACGCATGTGCAGTTTATTGATGCCTAAGATGATTCTTGTAAAAATCAGCTGGACGGGAGGCAACAAACTCTTCAAAGGCATTTTGTACTGCCTCTCGGGAATTGAATTTTTTACCCACTAAAAAGTTGTCTAAATTTTGGAAAAAGTAATAGTCGGTAGGTGCAAGGTCTGGTGAGTATGGCGGATAAGGGAGAGCTTCCAACCCCAGCTCTTGCTTTGAGACTGTCTGTTGCGCAGTATGGGGTCGCGTGTTGTCGTGTGAAGGAGCAGTGGGGACGACCGATTGACCAAAGCTGGTTGCTTGGTACTCACCTGGTATTATGTATCTATAAAATTAAAAATGTTACATTAAACACTGAATGATCTCGGACAAGAAGTGTCGGCAAAAAGTCTTGTTACATATTTTTCGGTCTCGCTTCCATCCACTCAGAGCTTGTAACCCGCGATAAGGAACTTTGAACCAAAAAATTAATTCATATATAGATTTTTGGGGTCAAGACTCGTCTAGCAAGGGCGTCCTTAGGGAGAATAGCACAGCTGCTAAATGGTTTCCGATGTTTGACCTCTATGGTCAAACATCCAAATTTCGACTTTTATTTATATAGATTAACAATGTAACAGGATGTTTTAAATCCAATATTTTCAACCCTGCATTATATGTAAGTAACGTCTAAAATATCCAAAAATATATAGCTATAGCTAACATTTTCATTAATTTATATCGATGGGACAGTATCTAAAAAAAACAAAAGTTATGAGTTCATAACTTTGAATTTTTAAGTTAGTAATAGTTGATATGAGAAAATTAGACCACTTCCAGTTACTAAAGTTTTTTTGCGGTCGTAAGTTTTCAATTAGGGCAAAGTAAGGGCGAGCGAAGCGAGCGAATTATCAGGGCGAGTGAAGCGAGCCCTAACACTATTTCACAATTTATGCAGTTTCTCAGTAAAGTGACCACCACTTTACTGAGAAACTATTACACTTTCAGGCTTGGCCTTTGACATAGTAATTTCATTTATGTCTATATGTGTTAAAAATATTTTATTGTACTGCTTATGCCTTATGTCGATAATTATAAAACAATTTTTTTTATTATTATTATTTAATAATGTATCATTTAGCCTGTTATTATTAAAACCATCTGGTAGAAAACTAAAGAATTAATATCGATGTAAACAGAATGTTTATTTAACATTTTTATAAAGCTTTTTTGGCACTAATAATTATTTACTTTTCGTGATTGATAATTAATTACTCATTAATTTTAATTAATGAGTAATTCAGTACAATCTCAAAAATTTGGGGGCCCTCCTAAAGTACCGCTTTTTGCTAGTATAGATCATTTTTAAACTGTTCTGAATTGATTATTCCAGGGTTTATTGTGGTGGCAGCCTGTGTGATGACCTTTGAGGCTCGCGATAGTGCGGCAAAAGTGACTCCAGCGAGACCACAAGCGATGCCACGGCCTATGCCTCGCCGTGGGCCGCAGTGCGCCGCACCCGCGCGTCTAGACCAACTGGGCGTCTACCGCCTGCCGCACGTTCTACCACTGCCACACGCCTTACCTCTTGCACCACCACATAGATATAGACCGAGTCATCATCATAACAGGTACATTAATCGAACCCAACATCCTTGGTTTGCATTACCTACGCATTATCAACCCTCGATTTACTTTAAATTGTTAATCCTCTGAAATATTCATTGTTATGAAGAGTTTATTACTCATGTCATAATGCATAATATACTCGTATTATGTCCAGCCCCGTAGTTAGCTATTTCGTCGCTTGAACGCCTTAATCACTTGTCATGTCATCGCTTTGAAACGTTTGGATGTGGGACGCGTTTCACGATGCATCGATATAGATGAAGGCGAGGCGGATGTAAAATACGAACATCATAGGGCAGTCAGTGTATGTGACACAGAGTCGGTGGTGAAAGAGGAAAGGCACGAGCCCGCTTTGGCTCTGCGCCGGACTTGCGTAGCAGCAGCACGCGCGCTGCGTTGCCGGTTAGCGTGCTACGCCGCCCGCTACGACGCTACGCACTCTCCGTAGACGAACCGCCACACTCGGCAATCAGGTAAAGTATGAAGTGCCGTTGTATTTACCGCTATTCTCCATCTTCTTCATTCTGGCTTTAATAATGAATTCCTTCTCACATATAGTTTTTGCAGCTTCAGGTGTAGCTTGATATAACATTTTAATATTTATTGTATTAAGTACATCTCGTTAAAATGTCTCGCTTTAGTTGAAGTACCATTCTGTTATCTAATTAGTAATACATTAATTAAAATATTTGATTTTATTAGTAAATACATACATACACAAATAAATTATAATGTGATGGTCTCAGCGCAAGTGCAGCAGAATCAGAGTGTGGTTCCCAGTCATCATTAGCCCTGGATCTGCATGGGAGTGGCGCGTGTGCGGGCATCACGCTCCGTGTGCGGGACAACACTCGCCGCCGGCCGCTAGCGAGGCAGCAAAGATTGCGAGATGATACTGTACACCGTAAGTATTACCTGATTATTATTGTAAATACAAAAAAAAATGGATGTCTTTTGCTCACCTACACCAGAACGGCCAAACAAATATGAATAAAATTTGATACAAAGACAAATTATAGTCTACAGTAGTAAATAGGCAGGGCGATATTAAAGACTCGAGCTGGTTTACTAAATTTAAAAATCATTAGTTAATCATGTCGTGACACAAAAATGTTGACATTGTAAAACAATGCTTAATGTCTGAGATAAATATAGTGAAAACACAGGACCTAAGATTGAGCCTTAGGGTACCGATCCTTGAGAATCCATGATTCCAGGTGCCCGAAAGGTGGTCTTGTGGAAATAAGGTGCAAATAACTATCGTAGCACACAATAACTATCGGGCAAATAAATAGCGTATCCCCATAACGTAACACGTTTGATGTTGTGCTTACCTTTATTACATTTGGAACAAGACCAGAAGATTTTTCACCACACACGATATTTTTTTGGTCTCGTCTGTTTTAAAAGAATCTTTCCCTGATCATTTAGCTCGGTTGAAAATGAATGAGAGCAATTTAAAAAATGATTATATTTAAAAATACACGTATCATCATCAGCCTATCGCAGTCCGCTGCTGAACATAGGCCTCTTCCATTAAATATACACGTATAAATTGAATCAATCAATCTTGACATTTAATCATGAAGAATTGTTTTCCTTGAAAATTTAACTTTCATGTTTATACCCTTAAAAGAAACTAGCCGAGTTTATTACCTCATACTGAAATTCAAACTCAAATTGTCAAATAGCAAAAGAAATTACAAAGATTTTTGCTTCATGATTGCGTCTTTAAGATATCGTATTTAATACAGTGTTTTTTTTTAGCTACACCAGTGCAAAGTGTTAGCAACATAAACAATGCCGAAGAACTGATACACAGGTAATATTAACACCAGATCTAGTTCTAATGTTCAGAAGATCTAAATTTTTAAATTATTTTAGTAGCATACAATCTGAACAACTCAACAAATTCAACAGTACAATTTTTAATATTTATCCACACAGGCTATTAAAAGTTACTCTTACTACTCTTTGTTTATCTAAAAAAATTGAACTGATTTTCGGCAACTAATTACTTAATTTGCACATCCTTTTTTGGTTTTATTAGAAAAATGTTACGATGTCATGGTTATACTTCAATAAATTTACCATGTTTGCTAGAGAAGTTAATTCTTTATTAAATATTTCAGTATTGAGCCATTTTGATTACTGGGCGGTGAAAGAGTAGTTTATAAAATATTTAAATACAGTTATACCAAGTTTTAAGAATTGGAATGACTTAATGTCCTATGTCCCCGTGATGGGGTAGAGGCGTCCACAGTAATCCTTCATCGCGTTTGGTCTTGAGCTTCGCAATTGACCTCACGGCTTTCTCGGTTCCTCGATGTCGGCAACGGAGGGTACCGAGAAAGACATTAAAAAATGGAATGTTTAGAGTTATTCGAATATAGCGCAGTGCTATTGCGTACCTGGAAAGCCTCCGCCTTCCAGATCTCCGCTCTCTGCACTTGAGTATTAAGCATCCTCGACTTGTCTTGCTAATTGATCAGGGGATCTACTGCGAGTTTGTTTTACAACAACCCTCGTTAGGTGTTGCGATTAGTCCGCACCGAACTATTCACATTTTTGATGTAACAACCCACTTGCCGCACAACAAATTTTAACACACCTTATGGATGAAGTGAAAATTTATTGATTCAAAAAAACAAAAATCACTACATACTCTTCTGCAGAGTGCATTTATCAGACCAGTTTGATTTTGGGTATCAACCCCAACAAAAATCAATATATTAATCATCTTATCTCTGTTTAGGGTGGAAAATGAAAAAGTAGGTAACACCAACATAGAACAGATACATTTATCGGTGGAGAGCGAGCAGAGGGCGTGTAGCGCACCACCGGCGACGTGTCTCACCCCGCCACTCTCGCCCCAGCTAGTGGTAACACCATGCTCCCTGCCTGACCCCGTTGAACACGATACCTGCATCACCATTGAACCCCCACAGACTAACTCCCCAACGCACACAAGCACCGATGATAACTGAGGACTACCTCCGTTTCACCTCGCCGGGAGACGAAAATGACTCTTGTTGATAACATTTTGTATGAATTATACAATTTTTTCGGTTCCCGTTTTACTTAGATGTAAAATAATAAGATGTATTTTATGTACATACAAAAAGCACCTACCGAGTTTTTGATGTGTCTTCTTAAAAACGGCGACAATTATTACCTATTTTTTAGATCTATTGTATCGTATATCTGGTGTATACTTAAGAATGTTTCCATTATTGTAAAATGTTAGAGAAGATAATACCAATCTGAGAAAGGAATAAAAAATATCGTACAACTCAATTAAGTGCAAGGATTGTGAACTGGATTACGTGTGAAGAAAATGATTAACCCGGACCGGACAGTGTGTAGACAGTATTTATAATTTGGATCTTTTACTTAACATAATTATCGATATTCGAAAAATTATGCTATTAAATTTTTTATCGACTTAAAAAGGAGTATATTTTTAACGTAAAAAAATTTTATGACACAGGTGTTCTTGGAATCATCAATCAGGAATCTTGTTTTGCTATAAAAATAGTAAAAGTACCGAACTAAGAAAAATCCAAAAACTGTTTCTTAAATGGCATTATTAGTTATATAATTAATTGTACATAAGAGATTAAGAATTGTAAACCACTTTCACCTAATTATAATCTAATATTCAAGTCATTGGTTTACAACAGGCAAAAATTCAAACCATGGGTCAGTGCAGACCTTGAGGAACAATCCTCGTGCGGTCTCGAGCATTTTCTCGACGCAGCTTGTAGACCGTGCATGTGCAAATATGTATGCACTTTATGGAAATAGTTTCAAAGTTTATTTTTGAGTGTCTTAAAAAAATCCTCTCCGCTATGGTCCTCTCGATCTGCGCTGACTCTATCTCCTACGGAGTGCTTAAAGTGATAGCCTATTTCAGGTACGTTCGTAGCGTTTACCTCGGAAAACAGCGCGTAGCATTGCGTGTAAACCCCAATCTTGATTGTGGTAGCAAATCGTAGATTTAAATAAGATGTTAAGGTGTTATTCACGTTCAACAAGCTGTGTCTTTAGTGTACCTATGTATTGTAACTTATATAAAAATGCCTTAACAACCGTGCATATCAACTAGAGCATTCACTGGTAACAAACAGAGGGCTTAGCGTGAATTCATTTTACGTCATCTCGATAATCACGGTGATTCATCTTTTTGCCATACGGCTATTCAGTAAAACAACCTACTATTACCGGTTTGTCAAATTTAATCGAAACCAGCGGTAAGGTAGTGATTATAAAAAGGACACATCCACGCCCATAGAAAACATCAATCGGTTTTCCTAAATCCTCTAACATTTCTAGCAACTTTTCTAATTTTCTTTGACTAAAAACCTTATTATTGGAGAATTTTTAATTTTGTCTTAAAATTTAGTGTGAGCACAACAGGTCAACTTTATTATGCTGGTGTACGTGAAAGACAACCAATTATGGCCTTTTTTTTTTGTTTTTTTTTTTTTCTATCCCAGGGGAATATCACTTCCCCCCTCAATCGCGACGTGGCGGCCCAATTTCGTCTTAATGCAATCAGGCCGCCATCCTATCCCCTACCGCAACATTCAATCAGCGACCAGAGGTCGTCGGTATGGTCGCCGACGTTCTCTACGCTCAGGATCGGCCCTCTCCCGATCCCGTTCAGCGGTCTCTTTCTGGAGCATTACAGCTTCACAGAAAGAGACCACTGCGCCCCATCCCTCCTCAACCAATTATGGCCTAAAATATAGTCCTGAGCTAAAATACAAAATTGCACCTATTTCTAAAGCTACAAGCCATAAAAGCTCTGGTATTTGCTTAGAGAGACAATCTTTGCTACGGAGATAATACAGAATTGTCCTTCAAAATGCTCTAGTTCCTACGCACTTTAAAATTCACAATAATTGAAAAAATAAACGAATAAGGACTAAATTAAAGAACAGCACAATCAGTATAAGCCTAGATGTAGTGTTTCTTCTTTTAGTTCCTGTATTAACACATCAGTTAAATATTAATAATCCGTTATTAAATCGAAAGACTGATAAAAGCGAATTTTATAATAATTAAACCATTTTATTTCATTAAAACACGAGTGACATAGATTTTAGGGTCATCAAAACATTCTAAGCATCAACAAGATGAAAGCCAGTGGCGAAAGGTGCTCTACTTTTAAAAGTCTATATACAATATTCACCTTTAAACCACCTCTATTAACTACCCATAGGCGCTAAGCAAATTCTAAAATCTAAAGTCCAGAAATTATTTAGAACAAAGTACCATTCTTTAAGGTCGAAACATAACGCTAGCAAAATCATGGACAAAACTCTGGCAAAATAAAGTCAAGTCAAGTTTGGGATTCGGGTAATATTCCCTTCGCCACTAGAAAATTTAAAGTTGCTCATAGTTTACGTTGTTTTTTGTCAAATATTTTGATTTCGTTGTACAAGCAGATATGTGACTGACATATTATAATAGTATCTAACAAATTGTTATCTTTAGCCCTTAGCATATTTCCTTTTGTAACTACATTTTCATGTAGATCATTAATTTATATTATTAGACTTGTTATATTTATGCACTTAGATTTAATGTGTAAGAACTTGTATATCTGAGAGTTTCGTTTGCACTGTAATTAGTTCAGTAATTTATTATTATTTACGTATTTTGCAACCTACAGTACAGGCAATGGTTGCATGTACGAAAAAAAGCCGTGTGGTGTCGTGGGACACCCGATAGGAACGAAGTTGTGACGATCGAGTAAAACTGATTTGACACGATTTTAATTACAACGCCATCTATGAAAGCGGCTATTACCTACATATTAAAAACAATTAAAACAATTTATACATTGGTAAAATCTCCTTGCGAAATGATTTCCTATCTATTCGATAGATGGCACTGAATGTCTGACAAGATGACACGAAAATAAAGAGCAAAAAGCCAACATCACGTGGTATTCCCAGGCGGTCACCCATCCAAGTACTAACCACGCCCGATGTTGCTTAACTTCGGTGATCGGACGAGAACCGGTGTATTCAACATGGTATGGACGTTGGCGAACGTTAAAGCAAATTTAATGTATGGTATCCACAGTTAGACGTCAATTTATATTAAAAGTGTCGTGACAAATTTTCGTACGATTTTTTTCCGTCTAGCCCCCTTTCACAACGCGCGATAAGGAACTTCGTTCCAATAATAATGTAAAATTTATTACCGCACAATAAGAAATGATGCCTTCTGTCTAAAGTTATGGGAGTGTACATTGTACATAGTGTTCAGGTAACTACTTCTGATAGGAATAGTTTACAGTAAATCTCTATAAATCACATGCATGCAAAAACTAATTTAAATAAATGTCATTATTGTAGTAAGTAATGAGAGATTGAAGGAAGCAGGTATATTAGAAACAAATGACTTTATAATCTTAAACCATTGTGTGTCTATTACGTCCTTAATGTTCTATGCTATACCTAAAATGTATTAATACAGATCATATCAAATCTCTTCCTCTTCCTCCGAGCCTTTTTCCTGAACTAGGTTGAGGTCGGCTTTTAAGTCGATTTTTTTTACGAGAAGCGACTGAGATGAAGCGATATCGAAGTTCTGTTGCAAGACTGTTGTCGGTTTCTTAGGGCTCCAACTATCCGTAACGATTGCCACGGATGTTCGTATGGCAACCGGGACTGACTGCTTAACGTGCTCTCCGAGGCACGGAGGGGTCTCAATGTGTTAAGAATGGTCCCCATTCATAGACTGACCTGGCTAGGATTACTTAACTTCGCAATGTATTAACCTACTCGGTTACCACTTACGAGCCATTTTACGTAATGAATATTTGATGAAATCATATATAAAAAAATTGTAAAATACACAAACCGAATCTTCTTCTTACGGCTTAAAGTATATTATTGTAAATATTAGTAGGCTCTCCTTTCATAAAAGTATGACCTTCGTTAGTATGACCATATCTCCAGTTTTCGTTAACAGCTAAGATTATACCTATTCGTCAACGAAGGAAAATCCGCGCACTCACAATTTTGTACACTATCCTCAATTCTCCTTCCTCTCCCACTTACCTAACAACACAACTGTGTTAATTGTTATGCAATAATCACAACAGAAACCTTCGTTCGACCAATAATCTACTTCTACTCTGTCGTTCTCACACCACTGGGTTTGTCGGCTCTTCGTTCTTCGTCCAGGCTGTCCTCTTGTGGAATGCGCCTCCTCTTGAAATCAGGAATGCCACAAATCGGTACTGTATAAGGACGCAAGTGAAAGAGCTTTTGCTAAGTGAAATGGCAGATTCAACGAGCTCTTAGGTCATCGCCTAATTTATCTATTTTTTAATACATATGTGTATATATATATGTGTATGTGTGTGGATGTACGTTTATATATGTATGTGTGTGGTATTTAGATGTATACACCAAATTCTAAGATAGTTGGTATTTAAGAAAACCTCTATCATTTATTACCCCCCTTCCCCCCATAAATGCACCTACCTCATTCTTTCCCAGCATCGCCCAATCGGTCGACTGCCAGAGAATGCCTTAGGCATTAAGTACGCCTATGCATGTACTTGTGCAAAAAGTTATAAAATAAATAAATAAAATAAAAGGCTAATTGGCAAATTAGGTGCTTATCTAATTTTGTGTTACTTTCAAATTTGATATGAGACACTTGAAAACAACTTGCACAATGTTTAGAGCATTTCCTGCAGTAGATATCAAAGGAAGTCAGAGAAAATTTAAGAACAAATTGGTACTGTACTACATTAGAACACAACTAATTATTTTTAAATACTCTGTAGTAATAAATCATTAAATGATCGTACGAAGGTAATTCATACGATCATCACCTACTTCTGTAATTTTATTTCTAAACTAACAAAGCACACAACTCAATATAATCAGCACACACACAAGCAAAATTTCAAACGGAATGCTAAAAATTCATAATTTTAAAGTCAATTAAAAAATATGGATTTGGGCGTTACATTATACAAAATTGTAACAGTTTTGACATTGGTGCAGTCGTAGGTGTGTAACCATTGTTTTACCTAGTGTATTATAGGGCGACATACACACAGCTGGCACACTAGTACATTACAAATTACCAGTTATCAGCAATTTCCCAAAGATAATCATAATTTAGTAGCAAAGCGCAACATATTTGGGCCTGCTATTGGTACTTACTAGTCTGCCTATTGCTGAATATTCTAAAAACGACTTATACATAGAGTCGCGATAAATGTTTGCACTGTATTGTTAATGTGAAGTATTAGAGTTTACATATACACTGAATTATCACTAACCTCGTTGTAAAGTACCTGCAAAACATTCTGTTAGTGCAAAGTTATGAAAACTGTATGGGAATATGAGATTAGTTACAGGCGCCGTGACGCAAAACATAATGATACCATTAGCTTGATTTCGTACGCCCGCTGTGTGTAGCTTGTAGCTTTGGTATTATTTCTAAATTATTTTTAATATTTGCTTAGTGGATGTCTAAAACAAAATGAGGGATTTGATGTCATTTTCTGACTGATCCGAAAAAATATTGATTGTAATTTTATATATAAAGTTTTTTGTACGAACTGTACCTATTATATAAAGTTCTGGTAGTTATTATATACATTAAGATTTATTTTGTAAAATTAGCAATGTGTACTCAATCCAAATGGTTGTTGTGATGTCTATTAAACTTGTTGATTATTTTTATATCTTTTATTGTGTGAGTGTGAAATAAAGCCTATATCTACCCCGATTTTTTTTTAGCCATATTTTTTTTTACAAACAAGGCTATAAGGCTGTTTTTTGTGCACATATTAATTTCAATTTTTTAGGCCAAATCAATTTTACTAGGTTCAAAAACAAATAGTAGTTCGTAGTTATACGTTTAAGGCAAAATGTCAAATAAAATATGTCATGTAGCATCCCATCAACTTTTTGTTTTAATTTGTGCGATTTTACAAATATATAGAAGATTTTGAGACATTTACTTACCCGCTTGTGCTTATAATATTATAATTCCTTCTCTAGGTTTAAAAAATTTCATTTTGGACCGCATACTAACATAAGCCTGAAAAAGTCTTAATGGTAGTGGGTAGTACACACATTGCTGAAATTAGTAAATTCTTAAGGTTTCTTTTGTACATCTCCTTTGAAATCAGTGCGCGGATTACTATAATGGTGTTCGTATAAACTGATTACGTCCACAAAGTAACAAACCGCGTTAGTGGGTGATGTAAAGTCTCTTCTAATCCTATCAAGGGTATCCATAGAGGATAATCCATGAAATCTAGTTAGGGACGTGTGATATAAAAATAGTAGGCACGCCGCTCTGGGCAGCAGTCAGTCAGTGGAGTGGGCAGTCGTCACGCACACTTCCGAGGACTGCTCACATCGTGACCCAGTATTCAAAATGTACAACCAAACGGACAAGTCTTACTATGCTGCACATTTTGCGCCATACAAGTAAGTGATGTTAAAATATTATGTATACTATCTCAATTCTTGCTATTTATGTATAATTGCATGTATGTGTCGTGTAACATTGTTACTGCATATAATTTGTTAATTCATATTTACTCATATTCTGAACGTTTTTGAACAATTTCAATTTTCATTGCCTTGAAATGTTGAATAAACATGTGTAAGAAATAAAACTTTAAGGACATTTTAGATCGAGTGGATCTGGAGGCATAGTAATGCTAGGAGCGGGTTTGACTGGTGAGGACCTAGCCGCGGTGCCTGAACACTGGTTGTCTTTCCCGGCGCCCCCAACCAGCGCGCATACTGCACTTGCATTACTTTACACTTTCTTCACAGCTGCCTCACTTTTGGGAAATGGATTAGTAATCTTCATATTTTCTACGTAAGCGTGCGTCTATCTATAGTTTCGAATATTTTAAAATCGTGCTTTGTTCATGCGTGCTTCTAATAAATTCAGCTTTCAATAGATGGCCTATGCATAATACATATGCCATGTATCAAAAGCTGTTAGCTAAATAGGTAATACCAATAACGCTGCGATCTAAAGGAGTAAATAATATTATATCAATAAACTCCATCCAAATTACCTCAGTATGTTGTTTTAATTTTGTTCTAGAACTTTCTTTTCTAGATTTTTAAACACTCCAGGACTATCAATATTTCATTTATTGAGTCATGACATGATATTTTAAAATTAAAATCATAATATTTTTTTAAATGGGTGGACCTTTTTAAATGTGATTAAAACGAATCCACTTTTTCATATTTGTTTTTAAATGCATACCGTCTATAGTCAGCACTTATGGGAAACCGACACAATACTGTAGTTACAAATACTTTGATTAACAAATAAAAAACTGAAAACGAAAAGAAGCATAATACTTTTTTTAGACAAGTAATGTGACCTAGCAAATGATGATAGCTTTATGATTCGAATAAATAAAGTGCAGATTTCAATGGGTTAGAGGTGCTTCTTCAGTCAAGCGATTATAAAAGAAAATAAGTAGAGAAATAATAAAAAAGAATGAACCCCCCAGTAATTAGAAATATCGCTGAAAAGGACAGGACTCTAAATAAACGTATTTTTTTCTATTGTTTTATTAGTAATATTATAATTGTGTTAATTTCAGGACTAAAAGCTTACGCACATCAAGTAATCTGTTGATCCTCCAACTTTCAATTTGCGACTTTATAATGATGGCGAAAGCTCCTATTTTTATATACAATAGCGCCATGCGAGGTTTTGCAACTGGAACCATCGGTTGTCAGATATTCGCGGTAATGGGCGCATACAGCGGCATTGGCGCATCAATGACCAACGCCTGCATAGCGTATGACAGGTACCTCAGAAATGATAGTAGCAAGATTATTTTATAAAAATCACTAAATCAATATCGTTCATAAGAATTTACGAAATTTTGTTACTGCTACGTGACCAAAGAGGTTTTAGATGTTTACTGAAGCATCTACTTGTAATCGGTGCCTCAAAAGATAATAATTAGATCATTTTTAGACACTCGACAATTACCCGACCCTTAGATGGACGACTATCCAGAGGCAAAGTTCTGCTGATGATAGCTTTTGTCTGGATATACAGCACGCCATGGGCACTTTTACCGTTATTCAATATTTGGGGCAGATTTGTACCTGGTAAGTTAACTTGTGAACGTTTCGTTTTCGGTTTTATTGTTATTTTAAGTAATATCGTTGAGAGCTATTAAAAAAATAATTCAAATTACCCAATAAAAACTTAACTTCTATCTGGTACATTTTAGAAATTAAATAGAGGGATGATGAGTCGCCACAAATGCATTATAGTCGACAATGTTATTCCTGGTGTTAAAAATGCAATATTTTTATTTAATATTTAATTCCAATCTTTTATTTATGAATAATTTATTCTGGTACCTGTACCATGTACTCTATCTTTTTGCTCATTTATCTCCTATCAAGCTTTAAAAAATAAATTAATTAAAAATAAAATTGTTTATTTGCATTTATTTTTATTACATGAGTGATTTATTAATAAGCTGTCAAGTTTCGTTGAAATAATTTGTTTTGCTCTTCCAGAGGGGTACTTAACGTCCTGCACATTCGACTACTTGACTAATACCTTCGACACCAAATTGTTCGTGGCGTGCATTTTCACATGCAGCTACGTTTTTCCTATGTCCATGATTATTTACTTCTACAGTGGTATTGTAAAACAAGTATTTGCTCATGAAGCTGCTTTAAGGTAGGCTGAATAACTTTATTACAGTAACCAATTACTAATATTAGAGGTCTTCAAATGTTAAAGTTATTTCCGTTAACACTTGTCTTAACCTACTTTCTATACTGCCTCATGTGACCCAAGGATGTTTTGAAGATATGTAATAATATACCTGAAACCAAGTCCAAATAAATATATCATTACGGGTTTTTAATATTTCTATAGGTATATAATTATAATGTTATTATTTAGTTTTAAGTAGGTAGCACTTATAAGCGTAGGTCGGAACAGGAACGGGTATAATGATTTAGGGTGAATTAAGTCAAATGTATGGGTAAAAATAGATTTGCATAGGTATAAATAAAAAACTATTTAAGAAATCCCCAAAATAGATACCCAAACGGATTTCAAACAAGAGTAGAGTTAATTTTCCTACTGTTTTCACCTTCCTAGATAGTCCATTGAAAAAAATGGCTGAGGAAAACACAATGATCAAAAGCTTTGTCATCGTAGTAGTGATGACAAAGCTAGTATAATTTATTACAGTTTCGGACGGTATTACCTAAAATATTTACTCATAATTATCAACTTAGTTCATTAGTATACGGCATGTATTAAAAAGGAATAGATGTGTAAAATTTAATATGTAACTCATAACTAAAACAAAAATACTACCCACTTATTGTAGCAACATATTTCAGAGAACAAGCTAAGAAGATGAATGTAGAATCTCTTCGTTCCAACCAAAATACTGCTGCAGAATCAGCTGAAATACGAATAGCCAAGGCAGCGCTCACCGTGTGCTTTCTGTTCGTCGCGTCTTGGACTCCGTACGGTGTAATGGCTCTGATTGGAGCTTTTGGGGACCAACAACTTCTGACACCCGGGGTAATTAATTCATCAACAGCCTTTAGAAGTCCACTGCTGGATAAGGTCTCTCCTTAGAAAGGATGTTTTGGCCTACTATACCACGCTGGCCAGATAGGTTCGTATAGGGTTTGTTTCAAGTTTTCCTTCTCTTTGCAGTGCTGTTCTCCTGCATAGTTGGGATGAATAGGGGTGACGACACTCCGAATTCTTAATCCGTCACATCACGGAAAACTTATTACTACAATCTGAAATCCATTGAAACACTCCTTTGTTTGAACCACATTAATCAGTTGTGTAGAACAAACAAAACGTAATGTTGATCCCTTTATTTTACATAATATACAGAAACCTAAATTGTATGATGAAACGTGTCTAATAAACAATATTATTTATTATGTGGTGGTCAAATTCGACTAAAATGAATTAACTGTAAATTTTTTTTGGTTCATTTAATTAGCCAATTAGTATACATTTGACTGTCATTGAATAGGTTACCGTAGGTACTACTATGACAGGTACTGTTAAAGAAAAATTTTTGATTGCTGATTAGAAAAATGGGAGTATTTTAAAAAGAAATTGCTTATTCGGATATGAGTGTAAGTTATAGCTCAGTGTCTCGAGCTATGGGTGGTATGGCTCGAGGATTGCACACCCGTAACTCGAGCTGACTACTACTAAAAATTCAGAGACCTGTAATTTCTAAATACGATTTGCTGTATAATGACAATTATGTCATCAGGTCACAATGATACCCGCTGTTGCCTGCAAAACTGTTGCGTGCATAGATCCTTGGGTTTATGCAATTAGTCATCCAAAGTATCGGTAAGTTGAAAATCAATTAGTTTAGAAAAAATTACGCTATGTTCAGGCAGGGCAGAGGGCATGGGCGGGGGCCCTGAAGGCTAGCAACGTCGCACTACTGCGACGACCGCAGCGAATGCTGGCCATCAGGATCATAAGGGAGTACCGCACCATCTCCTTTGAGGCGGGGAGTCCCCTGGCCGGAACTCCACCGTGGGACCTGGAGGCGAGAGCCCTTGCGGCTCTGTATCAGTGGGGCAAGGAGGCGCGAGAGTTGGGTCGGAGTCCTGAGACTCGAGAAATCAATGACCGGAAATCTCAACTCCGCCGAGTCCTCGTAGGGGAGTGGAAGGAACGACTTGGGCAACCGATCGCCGGGCACGCCGTCATCGCGGCAGTAAAACCCATTATGGAGGATTGGCTCGAGAGGCATCACGGGACCCTCTCATACCGACTGACGCAGGTGGTCACTGGGAAATGATGTTTCGGGGATCACCTGTGTCTGATCCGCAAGGAGCCAACGCCTGAGTGCCACCACTGCGATGGTCGGACCGTGGACACGACGCTGCAGAATACCCGGCGTGGGTGGCAGAGGCGAGACCTCATGGCGGCCATCGGAGTGGGCGTTCTCTTGCTCGATAACCTGATTGCGGCTAACGTGGGGAGCGAGAGTGCGTGGAACTCTGCTGTCTCCTTTTGCGAGCAAGTTATGCTTGCGAAGGAGATGGCGGAGCGGGACCGTGAGAGGTTTAGAACTCTCCCGGCCCGCCAGGCTCGGCAACGGGCCAAGTACCGCAGACAACTTAGGCGCCGGAGGTCGCAGAACGTCCTCCGTCCTCCATAAGCGCAGGCCTGGGGGTGACAGGTGAGGACATCTGTCACCCTAGCAGAAGCAGACCGGGGTGGCAGCGAGCGGGTTGCGAAGCGCGCGCGCCCTTCGGAGAGCACAGAGGGAACATAGGGGTTCCCACGCAGGGGGGTCGTCTACCCACCGTAGATGGCCCGAGGTACGTCGGGGCACCAGGGATTTAATTTCTAGGGTACACCTGGTTCCCCGACTACTGGTACCTGAAACGGCGTGCGGTTTTAGTCGGTCGAGTCCGACATTGCCACCGGTAATGGTATCCGAGGGGACTTCCGCTCAGAAAAAAAAGAGGGCAGAAGGCATGCTGGCAGTGATACGTCTAACTTTAATTTTTTTTTTTTAAATAAAGACAACTCCCGCATAAGAAATATATATTGTGTCGCAGGGGACTTTACAAACACATGAAACGGACACAAAGTACACCCAGATTCAGAACAACAATTTTTGGATCACACAAAGTATTCACATACCATAACTAACCCGTATGTACGACGTCCGATGTATGTATGATGACATCATCAGTTAAGATACAGTTTGCTAGGCATGATCATGGGTGCTATTCGGAGGATCCTTCTAGTGTGTAAAAAATCTTTCTTTTAACCTTCTGGCGTTCTACCGTTGCACCAATCGTTTCAGATTTGATAAATCAAAATAAATGATAAATTATATCTATTTTCCATTTTCCAAATATTTTCGCCAAACATTCGTTTATCTTGTGAATATGAATAGTGCTGCGAATACTTGTTACATTACTAATGTTGTGTGATACGAATTCTTTTTATTAGTTCGCTAAGTTGAGTATACCTTTGAACCCATTAATCAAATGGGATAGATTTATATTCATGCGATACTAACCTGGATTGTTAATTATATATAATTTCAGACAAGAACTTCAACGGCGAATGCCTTGGCTCCAGATCCGTGAACCGGACGATACTGCATCTACTGCAACCAGTAACACAGTGGGCGGACCTCCTTCCGCCACCCCGGCCTAAATGTTATAGAATCCTATGCAATAAAGCTGCTCAAATTGAGATTATTTACCTTATTACCTACCATACTTATTCATACTTTCTTTAAACGACGACTATGGCATGATAATGGACTGATTTGATATGGCATGATAATATGCTGCATATATACATAACTAATTATAATATACGAAATATTGTTAAACTGCTGAATACAGATGTAGAAAAGCGATTTTGTTTTTATTTTTGTCTTTCTGTATGTATGTTTATTCTTTCTGGCATAAACGGTAGAGTTAGCCACAGGACGGCCAGCCTCAGGCACCTCTTCCTCCGAATCCACGCTGTTTCAAAGCAGGAAAAGCCTTAAGCTTCCCGACGCCAATCGGCGCACTAGGTCTAATCGATCGATCGATCGATCGTTATGATCGTGCCACCACCCTGTCCAATACCGCAGGACGGAGGCAAGGGGCGAGGCCGTAGAGGAGTGGGCGGCCTCGGTGGGCCTCTGTCTTCTAAACGAGGAAGCACGTGCGTGCGACAGCAGGGGGGATAGGTCGATAGTGTACCTTCCGTTCGCTACCCCTGCCCTCGCCGCACGAGCAAGGAACTGGCGTGTTTTGGAAGAACTTGAGACGCTCTCGGGTCATCTTTATATTCGATTTGAGTTCTCCCGGACCCAGGACCCCAGTAGGACCTAACGTTGCTGGACGAGAGGGTAAATTGTTTGAGAGGGTACTCTCTGCCCGCATCGTCCGCCACCTCTACGAGGTGGGCCCCGATCTGTCGGACGCCCAATTCGGTTTTCGAGCGGGGCGCCCAATTCGGTTTTCGATTTTTGCTGTGCTGCGCCTGAGGGCCGTGACCGAAGAGGCGGTGAGCTGTGGCGGCGTGCTGTTGGCAGTGTCATTGGACATCAACAACGCATTCAATAGCCTGCCATTCACCTGCATCAGGGAAGCACTCCACTATCATGGGGTGCCAAAGTACCTGAGGCAGCTAGTGGCAGACTATTTAGAGGAGCGTTCCGTCGTGTACGAGGACCGAGATGGTAATCTGAGGTGTCGGCCCATGTCGTGCGGTGTTCCACAGGGGTCTGTTCTTGGACCCCTCCTGTGGAACATAGGGTACGACTGGGCCCTTAGAATTAATTTTCCCCTCTGGGCTGGGTGTAATTTGTTACGCCGATGATACTTTGGTCACAGCCCAGGGGGCGAACTTACAAGAGGCGGTGCGCCTGGCCACCAGGGGAGTCTTTCTGGTGCTGAAGGCGCTATTCCATAGCTACTTGATATTAACTATAAGACGAGAGAGTCAACATTTATTTTGTTTTTATTCAGTTCTATATTTATATATACAGCTAACAGTAATATACGTGTGTAAAACCAATTCGTTTTGTCATCTTCATTGAAGCTACGCAATACAAATGAAGATTTTTATAAATGTCTTTGTGGTCTTTGGACAATTGATAGTGTGGTGCTAGTCATATAAAATCGTATGGTTTGATGCAATTAATTCGTACCAAACACACATTATTAACCCAAGTTCACACTCAACGCTCAACTAAAATGAAACTAAATTCACCCTTTTTGATGTCTAGCATCTTTCCTCTCGGTTGACCGCAATCTGTCGAAGGGATTTTCTCAAAAGGGGTGGAAGTATGTAACAGGAAGTTAGGGAAGTGCACGCTATTTTATTCATCAAGTGGTAGGTGAAAGACGACTACTTTATGTGATTACATATTTTTTGACAAGTTTAGTTTTTTTGTTTATATGCTATGGAATAGGAATAGCAAACGAACAGACGGGTCGCCTGATGATAAATGACTACCGCCGCCCATGGACACCTGCAAAACAACAGTCACAGAACCAGATGGAGAGGGTTTGTTTTCCGCTAACGTCACTCGCTCGGTGAAAAGCAACGAAAAAGTTGCACTTAACACCGGTTTTTTGTGAGTCTGTGATATCACTGCGGTCGAGTCAGCCTATTTGGGCTGAGGCATAGCTTTCATGGTGAAATTATAATACGGTGTCAATCTACTAAATAATTAAAATTTAACTTTTAAAACAGTAAGTTCGTCCTATCAAAATTATTACAACACTGATTACCTAATGTCAATGTCATAAGTTGTCAATAAGTTTATGTTGCTCACAGAGTATTAGGTATGTTGCTTTTGTTATAAAACTGCGAATTAGTGAAGAGAATTAAAATACCAGACAAAAATAAGTGTAAGAAAAATATGAAAACTGTTTGATTTTCAGAGTTAATAAGAAACGAATAATATGGATAAGCTAACAGTAATATCAGGCACTTTATTCATGACAGCTGATGTTTTTGCTATTGTAAGCCTCGCAATGCCAGACTGGATAATCACCGAAGTTGGAGGTAATTTTAATGCTGATTAGACGTAGATTAGACCTTACAGTATCCTATATGCCTATCCTATTATTGTACATATTCTTCTAGATTCGTTTCGCCTTAAAATATCAAAAACAGCCTGTCTTCACTGTAAAAAAGTTATTAACTAGTTTCAAACCCGTTCTTTAGTTCCAGGTCTGTGGTATAGTTTTTAAATAGCATATTATTGTTTTCATATATTTTAATTTTTGATTTTACTATTAAAATAAAATTAAACATCGTCTATGTTAATAATGTCATCAGAATTTGTTTATAAAAGTAAATTTCATCTTAATATTAAGGTAATTGAGTGGTCTCCTAAATTCAATATATCCCAAAAAAGTGTTTAGTGGTTCTCTTCTGTACACTTAGAATTAGGTCTACGATTTTGTCTGCATCTTTAACTATATTTATCCAAAAATCCTGTTTATCTCAGATTTGTTGTTCACATGACCAAAATTTTAATTAGACCGGATGATGTAGTGATTAGTGTAACAGACAGCTATTCCAAAGGTCGCAGGTTCGATTTCCGCTCAAGTCAAGCTTTTGTGTGCAGAAACATTTAATGTTTGATTTGGTCTGGGTGTTTCTATGTGTAGTATGTATGTGTTTACAAAAAAAAGTATGTATGTATTTATATCAGTTGTCTTGTACCTATAGTACAAGCTCTGCTTAGCTTGGGACTGGATGGTGTTATGTGAATGTGGTACAATATATATATAATTGACAACCTAATCTAATTATTCCTAGACAAAAAATATTTTATGTGTTAATCCAGTTAATAAAACTTTCCGTTGTCTTTGAATCCATTACATCATTTTGATATAATTGAAAAACAAATATCAAAATATCCAACTAATACACTGTCACATTGATAGGGTGTGATTAGCAACTGAAATTACAATGTTTACTTTACTTAAAAATTAATAGCTTATGAATGGAAAACCCATGTATCTTATTATAATGACACTATATTTATGTATAATATTTTCAGGTGACACTCGCCTTGGCTTAATGTGGTCCTGTATAACCTTGTACAATAGGCCTCAAGTATGTTTTACTCCTGACTTACAACCTGAATGGTTATTAGCTTTGATTTGTATATTCATTGGATGTATATGCATAACTACAACGGTGATCCTTTTAGCGTCCAGTCATTTTGACAGGAATGTAATACCATATGCACGATGGGTTGGATTTGCAGCCAGTGAGTATTATTATTGTTTTTGTTAAATATTGTCAGTTATAATCATTATGCAAAAGTTTGTATACTTATATGTATATATATAAATAGGAAATTAGGCTGTGTAGTAGTCAATTCGCACAAATTTCTTCACATACCTTGTGTGAAACAACCCTTTTAAAAATTAATATTTTTTGTCGATTCACACTAACTGAATTTATTATCTAGTGTATGAATCGACACCTCTAGAAAAATGTCTTGCACATTTTGTATTTTAACAAGAAAGAAAATACAAGTGTGCACATATGTATATTCGACATTTTAGGGTTCCATACCTCAAAAGGTAAAAAAGGAACCCTTATAAGATCACTTTCTTGTCCGTCTGTCGGTGTGTCTGTCTGTCCGTGTGTCACCACCGTTTTCCTCAGGAACGGGTAGACTTAGCAAGTTGAATTTTTTACCAGATACTGAGGTCTCTGGTCCCTATTAGGTGTATAAAAATCAAGGTCCCGAGTCAACACAATAAAAAATATGGGCAAATTTCGATTTTCGCGAAAACTTGTAAGTACCAAAATTTACCTTAATTTTCAACTTTATTTTTCAGAATTTTCTCTTTACTTGTGCTGTAAGACATTGCTGTTAACCAAAATTAACAATTCTAGGTCAACCGGAAGTACCCTATAGGTTTTGGGTCGAAAACCTATATGGAAGTTCCCGTTGACCTAGAATCACGAAATTTGGCAAAAAGAAACGTCTTACAGCACAAATAAAGGAATACTTCTAAAATAATAAAAAAGTTGAAAATTAAGCTAAATATTGGTACTTACAAATTTTCCCGAAAATCTACGTAAATTACTATTAAGTGACGTTACTAACAATACTAATATAGACGTTAAGTACTTTATGTTTCTAACCCATTACTAAACAACCTATGGACTGAATATGTCTGAAAATAAAAAAATATTATGATTATATATTATTATTAAATCTGGGTAGGTACGGAACCCTCGGCGCACGAGTTCGACTCGTACCTGACCGTGTTTTTTTTTTTATTGTCAATGGTGGCAGACGAGCCAGTGACGCACCTGATGGTATAATTAGCTAGTGGTAACTGCCGCTCATAGTCTTACCCTGCCAGGGACACAGCCGCCGCGGCGTTTTTCTTGCTGACGTGTTACTAAAATCAGTTCGGATCTCCGACTGCATACCCAAGGTAAACATGTCTACCATAAATGAAATGTTTACAACCATTGCCCATAGCTTTGCATCCTAAACATCTTTAAAATTTAAAAAAAGAAAAACCTTTTCATGAGTGCAGAAACCTCTTATTACCTAAGGAAGGAGCCGTTCCAATTTGCCTACTTTTGGGGAAAATCTGATTCCCATAACAACATTACTCGTACCTTAGTGTGCGTGTCGCAGACCGTATATTATATACGTGTGATCTACGCCTACATCAATTGTGTTTTGTTCCTCCAACTCGACGTGTTTTTAAAATGAAACTATCGTTCTAGGCCTTATTATTTCATTCGATATTCAGCAGTATTTCAGTAGCAGTTCAATTTTATCACACTAAACTTTATGCACTAATATTGACGTTTACCTACTACAATGCATGTAAGCAAACTGTATCTTTCTGTTACAGTGGTTGTATTTTGCCTAGCTGCAGTGATATTCCCCATGGGATTCCATGTGGACGATATTGGAGGACAGCCTTATCAACTACCGAACAGTCATCAAGTTGGCATATCATATATATTATTTGTATTATCCTTATGGATTACTGTGATATCAGAGTTATTTGCTGGTAAAGTTTGCCTGCCTCATTTTTAAACTACATATTTAAGATTTCTGTGTAATAAAAGATCTGTTATTACTTATAATTATTTACGTTATGATAAGTTTTTTTTTATCAATAAATGTAGGTAAATCTTTGTAAATAGCATACTGCAAGACGAAATACCTATTGAAGACGACGATATCCGATATCTAAAAGTACAACAAGAGTAGTTCTGCATGTATATGTGTTTGAACCATGGGCGTAGAAAGAGGGTTTCCGCCATGTACGATAAAACTTTTCTCGTGAGGCATACCTTAACTTTTCAGTGATCATTGATCATTCATGACCACAGCCTCCTCGTAGTTTTTAATTTTGCAAACAAACTCCAAAAATAAAACGGAACTTTTGTTCTGACTCCAACTGGTTCTATTTTAAGACGGACAGCTAACGATCCCGTAACAATTTTAGCTTCAGCTCTAAGTTATTTCGAATAAAATATAATAATTATAAATAGACAGAAGAATATTTTGAAAATATGCTTATGTATTCTTGATGTTCTATTCTTGTACACCGGTGTTTTATTTTTGGATCAGGAAATACTAGCAGCATTTAAGCATATTACTTTGTGCTCGTCAATATATTCAACACTGGCGATTCCAGTCCATTTTATTACAATTTAAAGACAATAGTTTACATTATTGCCAAATGCTCAATTACGTCAAATATCATGAAATACGCTACCAACTATGTGTCAATGTCTTTTCGAATCATTTTGAGTCAAGTTTGCCCTTAATAGAATGTAACAATAAGGGCGCCCTTTGCATTATTGTCGCATACTATGTTTCACTATCTGTACTAATTTATAACCTTGTCGCCTATAATATGTAAAATAGTGTATTGTAATTGTTACTGTAATATAGTTTAGATTATGTATATAACAGAATCAGTTCTAGAATTAGTAGGCACCTAATGACCATTTGGTGAAATGGCGTCAAGTGAAATAGATTATATTGTACTCTCCTTTTACGTGTAAAATAGTATTTATTTTATTGATGTTAATAAATCTTAGAGGGGACTGGTCTAATTTCAAAGTATTATTATTTAGTCTATAATTAATTTGGAGATTTTTTTTAATTTCCTTAAGATTTAAGTATAACGGGCAGAAAGCAACGATATAATTTCAGGCTGTAAATAAAGACATTCCATCCTGCCAGAACTGCCTGACAGAGATATTACAGAAAAGATGCCCCGGGTACCTACCTATTTAAGATTGTTGTTGAAAATTATTTCGAGAATGAATAAATCAATTCACTAGACATTAAGTTATTCATACATGAATCTCTTAGAATCCTCTCGAATGTAGGTACCTGTTTTTTATATTAAACATATAATGTGTATACGTTTTACAGATTATGTATTTATATTTGAATTGCTAGGAATGACTGCATTATAACGAATAATACTTTGTTATTTACTTTTTATCGAAATCTATATCTTTAGGAATAATAAATAATTAAATATTTTATTATTGTTTTACATTTTTTTCACAACAAAACTGCCCATGATTTCGGCTATCTACAGTCTACTTGTCCATCCAAAGGTTGCCTGTAATAAATTGCTTATTCCATTTGTACATGGTATTTTGTATGTATGATGTCCTAAACTGGTGTACAATAAAGTTTATTCGATTCTGTTTTTTCTAAATGTCTAAAAAATCTAAAATATTTACAGAGGTATAAGAAGGATTGTATGAGTAATGATGTCCATATGTCGTACTGTTTATTTTGTATTAAAATTTAAGATTATTCAAAATATTAATGGAAATTACTACGTATGTTTAATTTATATTGACCGATGGTTTTATGAAACTTTTAATACCTAAGCTAGTTTTATTTGGTAAGGTCGCATGAGCACTACAAAAGAGGGGAAGATACACCTTTGGGGCTGCCTACTAATATTTATAATTCACCAAATCAATTAACTAGTGATGCCGATAGTTCAAAACTATCGATAGTATTCCGTAGCGTAGTAGTTATCAAGGCGTATTATTATTGATACTATTGAAAGTCATTAACAGTACCTAATGACACCTTTTGTGTTATCGATATTCTCACTATTGCCGCAGTATCGACTATCGATTGTAACCTTTTTTCAGCCTATTGCCACTGCTGAACAAAGAGCAACCATCCCGATCTTGGGCAGTTCATATCCATCCGCTGCCAGTCATTTTCCTCAAGCCGTTGGTCCTGTACTACTTTTTTTTATTTATTGGAACGAAGTTCCTTATCGCGCGTTGTGAACGGGGGCTAGACGGAAAAAAATCTTACGAAAATTGGTCACGACACTTTTTATTTTGAATTGTCACTTGTCAGTCATTCAGCGCCATCTATCGAATAGTAAAATTAAAATTTATGTTCTTAGGTTGAGCAAAAAATATTGTATTCGACATCATTTCTCAAGGAGATTTTACCAATGTATAAATTGTTTTAATTAGAAACCAACTGAAAAATATGTAGGTAATAGCCGCTTTCATAGATGGCGTTGTAATAAAAATCGTGTCTAATCAGTTTAACTCGATCGTAACAACTTCGTTACTATCGGGTGTCCCACGACACCACACGGCTTTTTTTTTATTTAATGGGACGTTACGTTTGTTTAATCGCAGTCTCCACTGACTGAGTGGGCCGGTCATGTCTCTCAGCGACCATCAGTCCGCTGGGAGACATGACCGGCCCACTTACACTTCAGCGTCGTACGCTCCAGCGTCAATATTCTCCGTGCGATGTCAGTTACTCCAGTTCTTTGTCAATTTGTTTCGTTTCGAATTTTACTCGACGGGGGTCTACGTTGGCGAGACAAAATATTCACAATTCGTAAGCGGGGATCACGTCCACGAAAATTTATCTGCTTTCGATAGTCAAGAACTAAAGTGTTGGCTTGACGTCACCTCAATGTAGGCTGATAATATTTTAAGAAGCTCAGCGACTGTTACTTGTAAAAACTTGCATATTCTATATTCAGTAGTGAACTTTTTGTCCCTACTACATTTGTAATTTTTTTTACTCGCTTTATATTAGCTTCACTTGTATGTTTGTAACCGACTCCTTTGGGCGTGATTTTGACTGTCTAAACGGTCAGAATTCGTTCAAACTGTAGATATATCGAGGACCGATGACAATACACTAATTTAAAAAAAAAAATAGTTTTAACTAAAAAACACGCTTTCTATAGGAAACCAAACTAAAAAATAAAATTTGAAAAAAAGCGTGGGGTGCTTTTTACTATTGACAACAGGCACCCAACGCTTTTTTTCAAATTTATTACGAGAGCGTTACTAAAAGTGTTATCGGGCGTGGCGAACGGAAATTGAGAGGGAGAAATAAGTTAGTGAAGATAGAAAGAGAGTTACGTTTCGTATGTTACTGTAGGGGCAAGAGAGAGAGGTCTTTCTCTCATAGTCAAGAAGTTTTACTTCAGTCGTGTGGTCTAAAGCACAGTCGTTTTTTTTAATATATACAGGTAAGTAACTAATACGAAACATGCCTGAATCTAAGAAGAAATGTCGACAGTATAGTGTTGATTATTTAAAATTTGGTTTTCTTCCATCAAAGGCAGACAAGCGATTGCCCATAGACCTTTTATGTTTTAAAAAAGTTTTGAGTAATGACTATGAAACCATCGAAGCTCGAAGATTATCTAAGAAGTCAACCTCATAAAATGGGTAAAGATTTGACATATTCTCAAGCATTAAAGGAAAAATATAAACCGTCCGTCGTGGACAGTATGTTCGCTTTAAAATCTGAAATAACGATGATCGCTTGCTGCACGCAAGCTATCATCGTTATTTCAGATTTTAAAGTCCCACAATATCTCATTACTTATAGCGAAATCTGGAAAACCGCACACTATTGGAGAACACTTAATTTTACCCGCTGTTGGAGAGGTTTTAAAAACTGTTCTGAACAAATCTCCATTTGACATACTTAAAAGAATTCCATTGAGTAACAACACTATACAAAAACGTATTGATGAAATGAGCTCTGATATTGAAAGTTTCGTGTGTAATTACCCGTAAACAACTCATTTTTCTATTCAACTGGACGAAACGACTTTACCTGGTAATTAACGAAGAATAAATTCATGAAGATCTACTATTTTATTACTATTACTACTAGGTACGCGAAAACTTTGGAGACGGACACTAAAAGTGAATCAATATTTAATGTCCTGAGTGATTTTTTTAAGGATAAAACGATTCTATTTACAAACGTTATTTCGGTGGCAACAGTTACCATGGTCGGGCGAGATCGTTGGTTCATAATCCATCTTACAATAATTATACCCAAGGTAGCTGCAATTCACTGTGTCATCCACAGACAACGCGAGTAGCGAAAAATTAGAGTGATTAATTGCACCATTCGTTTCAATTTGTGAGGAATGCAGTTAACAATAAGAAGCAATGCGCGTTTATTTTCACAATTGTGTGATGAAAATGATAAAGACTTCCAACGATTGCTCTTACATACTGAAGTACGCTGGTTGTCGAAAGGTGCATGTTTAACTAGATTTTACTCACTCTTTGAATCAGTCAGTTTTAGAATTTCTGGAAAGTAAAGATCCAGATTTTTTTTAAAAGCAGACATCGCGTATTTGATAATTTGTTCAAAAAAAATAATGACATTAACTTAAAATTACAAGCGGACAGCCTCAATTTAATAAAAACAAAGAATGTAATTTTAGCTTTGCTTGGATTGTGGCGGGAATTTTTCCAGTATTCAAACTTGTCACAGGTAGAATGCCGTGATGAGGATATTCAGACATACGTTCAACATTTAATTGCCCTGCATGATGAATTAAAAATCAGCTTTCAAGATATTCTGCCGATGGAAATACCACCATGGATCATAAATCCATTTTGTGAAACGGAAATGGAGAATGTGATATTACAAGAGGAGCTACTCTTGCAACTTGTGTGCTAGCACTAATGAGGAGCTGAAAGTGAAACTTAAAAGAGGGTATCAAACATTTTGGCAGCAGGACGAAATACGCGAAAAATATATTGGACTATGGGGTATTGTGAAAAAGATTTTAACAGCGTTTCCTTCGTCATATCTTGACGAAAAAGTTTGTGTCGTTACAAACCTTTTAACAAAAAAAAGGAGGAGATTGAATTTCAGGGATTTGCGGTTATTCCTAACAAAAATGAAGCCATTATTGATAATTTTCTGTCAACCCAACAAGTACCTACATCCGTCCCATTAAAATTATGACTATTTTGTGATTGTCATTGTAGAAGTTAAGTTACGTTATTAATTTTCAATTTTAATTTTATTACGAAATAATTACTAGTGTAATAATTACATATTTGAATAAATACAACACAAAAAATATACTATATTCTTCTTTTCCTTTTTACCACTCCGAATCGGCAGTTTTCTAAATGAAATAAGTGAGTGAGTGATTCCATCCAATTATACGCCGTTTGTTTGGCTGCAAAATGCAATTGAACAAGGAAATACGAAAAAAAAATAGTAGTACCGGTTAATACTAGAAGCTCGGGCTTTGGTGTTAGTATCACCCAAAAACCAAAACTTATTTAAGGAATTTCTATATGTAGTAATTTGAAACTTAGGTGTGTCTTAGATGTTAACTTATGGACAACAAAGAAATGGGAAAAGAAAAATGGTGAAATGGAATAATTTAAAGATAAAGTTAAAAATAAACAAAAATTATTTATTAGATAGTTCTAAAATACGTTACGTTGCGTGGTTTTACATAATTATAATTGATTAAAATGATTATATACATAAGATTTTAAAATATTTACACATAGTTCCTTCACTCTAAGTCTTATAAAGTCTTATTCACTTTCACACTACTCTTGTTCCTATTTTGTTCCGACGGCTGCTCCGTAGTTTAGTCGAACTTTGCTTCTGCTTCTGGATTTTCAATGGAGTTCCTTTTCTGCTGTACAATGTATGTATTATAATTGCATTGCCTCATCCTACTAAAGGATTAAAATTTAATATGTGAATTATGCTGAGTGATGAGACGGCTGCTGACGGTTGAGCGCAGTGAATGTGTAACAACACTGTAAACCTGCAGCGTCGTAGCCGTTACATTACCACGCACCAAGTTACCATAACTGGACATCTAATAGGATGTCCATACAGAAAATGTTAGAGACTCGCTACGACGGGTTGACTAGCTTTACAATCAATGTGAGATTGATCGCCAGTGTATGAAAGTGGGAATTGATTTAAGAATTCTAATGCCTTAGAACTGGACTCAAACGCCAACTCTCGAACAATGTAGTCCACAGGAACAGTCTGTCTGTAGCTGCACATAAAAGAAAATGTTAATAAACCACGACCAGCTAAGCTGGCATACTTCCTGGCATGTATTGACATCTGTAATATAAACGGTACCTTTAATTAATTCCATATTATTGTTCGTAACTATGGGACAACAAATTAATTAGAATTGACTAAGAGTACTGAAAATTTTGCTAAGCAGAAATTAAATCAATTTTAGATACAGTTTTGTTAGGGGTTTGGGTTATGTTGAAGCCTGATAATTTAAAGTTTATTAACTTAACGAAATCAATAGTGATCAAACGAAGCATAAAACATACTGTCAAACGAAACAAACATCTTTTACCTTTATATGTATTAAAGATAGCTGTTGAAATCATTTACTTATTAATACTATTTAGTAACACTTATGTTAATATTAAATATACGTGGTCATTCGTAAGAACGGACATATAGACGCGTTCGTATGTCTATACCTAAAACATCCATACTTTCGAGCGTGCGAACGTCCTATTACAGAACGTTTTACTATGAAAGTAAAAGGTTTACGCAATTGTCAACTTGTTTTATTACTCGCCAAAGCCATTTTTGAGATTTGGCGCCACTAAAATACAACACGTAAGCAAACAAGTCTCTAAGAAAGGAGAGGAACACAAAGGATTTTATTTCTCCGTAGAGGACAATTTACCCAAGCCTTTGTTTTGATGATTCAGTACATAAAAAAATGCTGCAACATGTACAGTAATATATCGAGTAAAGATTCCTGTAATGGCCCTGGATCCCATCCCATTAGCACAAACTTACATAAACCTTACCAAAACATTACAATAAACATAGAGAACTTTTCCAACCTCTCTAATTTCATCATTAGCATAATGAACTGATTTTGTGTGTAAAATATGACGGAATCGAAATTGATCAAGCGTGGATAATAATTTAGTTGACTATTAGAAGGGGGTCTACATAGAATAGAATAGAATATATACTAATATTATAAAGCTGAATAGTTTGTTTGTTTGTTTGAACAGGCTAATCTCAGGCTCTACTAGTTCAAATAAAAAAAATCTTTTGTGTTGGATAGCCCATTTATCAAGGAAGGCCAATAGGAGTCGAGCCTCACTGAAAAATGTTGCAAAAACAGAAAATTGACCTTCTGAGAGATGCAGACGAAGTTGCGTGGGTCAGTTAGTTTAAGATGTTTTGATTGACTTATTAAAATCCTAACATTCCTTCAATTATAATCCCTTTTCTTATCAATAACATTTTGTAATTATTTCTCCAAAAAACCTTAATATTAGATTTGCTTGTTATGTACATCCTTTCATAGACGATTTAAAGTTATAAAAATAGCCCCAATAGAAATTTAAATATAAAAAGACGTACGACTTAATGATGTATTTCAGGTACTTCTTTCTTTCCCTGTCCACAAACCAGTCCATAAGATATCCTCCCATTTTTGGTGCATTTTTATACAGACAGAAAAAACTACGCATGTTTCCTAGAGCCCAAGCATGTCTAGTTTTCATGGCATGTATCATACACTCATCTGTTAATTCTTTTTCTTTAGGAAGCACCTTGCACATTGAGCCAATATCTGAAAAACGAAAAATTGGAATAATAATGATATATAATCATTAACAATCGAAACAAACTATTTAAAGTTCAAGACACCACATACCTAAAGTATTATTAGTAAAGATATAGTAGAGTATTCTGTATGCTGTAAACTCTGAAATATTTGTAGCACAATCAGGTAATTCACAGTAAAGCATTTTCAGCTGTGTTTGACACTGATTGAATTCCTCATGGTCACCCTTTTCTAGAGCAATACGGGCATGTGTTTCATACACTTCAACTGTGAAACTGTCACGTATTCCTTGCACCTGCAAAAAAAACAACATTTGAAACTTATTTTACCTATTTATAATATTTAATCTCACAAATTTGCTAACACAATCTTCCCTTTGCTACAAACTTCACAAGGCTCCTCCACTGTCATTATACCTTTAATACAAGCCATTTTATACAACACAAAACATTTCCTAAATACATAAAAGAAATTTTAAACATTCTGTTAAAATTATAATAAAACTTAATTACCGTTAAATCTTGTCTAATGGACTTTAATTGATCACAAGCATATCTATAATCTTGATGATCTATCCACCGCTGTTTTACATTCCTTAATGAATTAATCAATACAAATAGAGGGCGGACTTCACATGCTTCCGGTGCTCTAGTTAATCTCAAAAAGGATTTCTCAATATCTAAGCATGTACCAATTATGTGCACATTATTGACATCATAATCTCCATCAGTATCCTGTATTATAGGTCTTCTTGCAGATGGCTCTTCTCTCCTTACACCTCCCTGGACAGAGCTTGCTATAGACGGAACAAAAGGTGTATTACCAAACCTTTCTGCCCTCTTCTGCAGTCTCTCAGCATTACCCTGAAAATCTTCAACTACAAATTCAAAAGCAGGTTTCTTTTTATTGGAACTTTTTTGATATTTTTCAGTTTTTTTCTGATCTAGAGATAGTCGATCTTTAACTTTTTGTCGGTTTTTGCCTTTGGACACTTTTTTTTCCTCTACCTCATCACCAGAAGCAGAAGAAGCACTGAAAAAAAATAATATAAAACCTTACTTATTTCACCAGAACTGACTATGTAATACAATTACAGATGAATATATGATTGATTTGATTACATTTACATATTAATTTTCATTCTAACTATTAGATAGTTAAGTTAATTATTAATGTTATGTCATTTTAATAGAGATATATTAGAGATACAGATAGTAGGAGCCATAAATACCTGAGCCTCTTCCTGATTGGACTTCTAGAATGAGATCTACTTCTAGAATGTGGGCGCCGTTTCCTCTGGGGAGAATTTTTATGACTAATAAAACCTCTACCAGGTAAATGGCCTCTGTTTTTAGGAGACTCCACATTTTCAGTCTTCTGATATAAATTTAAGGTACCACGAACTGGTTTAACAGACAAATTATTTCGTTCACTGTGAACACTAGGGATAGGTTCTTCATCCCAATTCCTAGTCCATATTTCATCTTTATTAGCAGCAGCTGTTATTCTTCCTTTTAAACATATATCAATCTGATCACGGTCAAAAGCTGATTTACATTTCTCATAGCATCTTTTAATATATCTCTCCAAACTATCAGGCCAAGTGCCTGCAGTAGTTGAAATAGATCCAGAGGACAAAAAGTTGGAAGGGTTGTTATTTTTAGTAGTAATTTCATCCTTCATTACTTCATGAGTTTGATTGGCACTGCCATGCCCTTCTGGTTGTGGTGGCTGAGGTATATCTTCTGTTGCCAAGGGGGGCGGTAATGGAACATCAAGAGGTGGAGGGGGAGGAGGTTTAGGGATTTCTGGTGGAGGCAAAGGTGGTAACGGTGGAGGATGGTCTGGTAATGGCGGCAACACAACGGAATCGACGTTTCCTTCATGTCCTTTGTTGTTATTAAGAGATTTTTTGCGTTTCTTTTTAGGGCCATTGTTTGAAAGAAGAGGATTACCATTAAGGGGTATGGGTGCTGGTTTTCTAACATTATTGAGATTAAACCTTATAGGCGCTTGATTAAAAAAAGGTCGGCTAGTATCGAGAGGTGACATCCCAAGTAAAGGTGTCGAAGGTGGTGGTTTGGAAAATTGAGGATGACTTAAATCACACTTTTGATCTTTATTTTGATGAAATTGATGAGCACTGTTCGGAAATCCTGTACCGTTGCTCATTTGATTGAAGTATTGGTTATAATACGGAGGATACATACCACTGTGATAACCATTGTATTGTGGATACATACCATACAACCAAGGATTATGGTTAGGTGGCATACCATTCATCGTTTGTATAGGTGGGTCTTTTGAACCATTGTCCGACATTCTTACAAAATACTACGATCGTATCTTTTTCCAACAAATAAAATAAATTTTAAAATTGATCAAAAACTTACGATGACCTAACAAAATGGCGACGTGTTGTTTTTACACTTTCTATGTCCACTTGTCCACTGTACCGATTCATAAACTTAAAATATTTTTAAACACTGCAAATGTTCAGCATTTGCGTTGTGACTAATACTTATTACATACTTTAAAATACGAAGTATAAGCACTAATTTCAGGCTACTTGAAGATTAGAATATCTTGCAACTTGCAGAGTAGCCATAGCCAATAAATGGTAGTCATAGACATGGATGTTAGATCCTGGTGAGCCAAAGTTAGTAGTTGTCGCTAAAAGGCTCTAAAAGCTGGTACTTGAAAAAAAAGTATGTATACTCACAATAACGTTACATTATTAAAAATAATAATAATTAATCCCTTATTTTATATGTTCTTTTAAATAAAATTTTGAACTATCAAAGAAATTCTTGATTATTTAAATAAAAAGTCATACCTGACAAAAAATTAACAAAAATAGTTATTTTTAAAATTATAACTAACAATAATTATTCTCATTATTGGTTGACATTTTTATTATTAGATCCCATAAAAGTCAATACATTGACCGCGTTTTTTTATTATTTTCTGACAAAATCATTGCCGTCATCCATAGATAATTAATTCGATTGATAAAGTTAATCTGAAGTATATAAGTTACTCAATGGGTCAAAAATAAATATCACTGTGAACAGTAAATTTTTGCAATAATCAATGTTGTAACTGTGATGTACAGCAAGAACTTATATGTTGTTAGATACCTCTTTTAATGTATGATAACGTCGAATTTGGTACTAATGCGTACCAACACAATATATAGTTGGTACACGGTAAAAATGGTACTTATACCAAGAAATTGGTACGTCTACAGCCTTGGTCGTACATAAAACACTATAATAAAAAAATTAATCCATATAAGTGATTATTGATCGAATAATGTAACCTGTGTATGATTTGTAATGATTAAATCAAAACTGTGACTAAGTTACAAGACTAATGCTTATTATTATTATTATGTTAGCGCCAGAAAGGTCTAAATCTGAAAAGGAGGGTGTGTGTCAGCTCTGACGCACGACTGGTGTTACTCGCTAAGAACGATTCGGCTGCACACAAGTATACAAGTTATACACACATGTGGAAGGTGCGCACAACCAATATGTAGAACAAGTTATTGTCTGAATGATTCCGGGTCGATACGAACTTCAAGAAGAGAGCGTACTGTACGCGTTTGTGACTCCGGAGATGTAGTCATTCATGGGTGGCGATAGTACCTTTCCATCAGGTGACCCTTCTGCTAGTCTGCCATATAGATGTAAGCCCCGCTTAAAATAAATTAAACCAATCCGTTTAAAACAATTAAAACCGTTTAAAACCTATAACCTATAAATTTTGTAATTATACGTGTGATACGTTAGTACGATAGTTTTAGTTGGTCCGTCCGAACTAGCGTAGCTAGTGCCTAAGTTATAAAAACTCTATTGATAAGTTGTAAACTTTGTTTAAACTTTTTTTTTATTTTTTAAATAGTTTAAATCGGTTCTTTTACATCTATAGTCTGCCCCCGCCTGCGCTTATGGAGGACGGAGGTCACTCTGTGACCTCTGACGCCTGAGTCGTCTGCGGTACCTGACCCGTTGCCAGGCCTGGCGCTCCGGGAGAGTTCTAAAGCTCTCCCGGTCCCGCTCCGCCATCTCCATTGCAAGCATAACTTGCTCGCAGAAGGAGGAGGTGGAGTTCCACGAACTCTCGCTCCGTACCATGGCGGCAATCATGTTACCGAGCGAGAATATTCCCACTCCGATGCCCACCACTAGGCAACGCCTCTGCTCCACCCACGCTGGCCATTCTGCCAGCGTGTGGAGCGCTGTGTCCACGGCCCGGCCATCGCAGTGGTGGCACTCAGGCGTTGGCTCCTTGCGGATCAGATACAGGTGATCTTCGAAGCATCCTTTCCCGTTGATCACCTGCGTCAACCGGTATGAGAGGGTTCCGTAATGCCTCTCGAGCCAATCCTCCATAACGGGTCTAACCACCGCGATAACGGCGTCCCCAAAAGTCTGCCCCCTCTTCCATAAAAAAAAGTTGCCCACAAAAAACTTAACGAGGTCATTCGATCACAAAATTTTACTCTTCATATTTTTTCATAACGGGCACCTTATATGAAAATGTATTCTTAAATAGTAAACTCCAAAAAAAGGTAATAATTTCTGATAAAAAGAATCACAACCACGATCAGAAATCGCAGTGACTAGATCCAATCATTCCAATCCAATCATTGCGATTTTGACTGTGACAAATCACTCCTAGATTCGATCATAGACAAAGATAAATGCCATCAAAACTTATGCAAAGAAAAAACATGGACAAAAAACAGGACATGGACACAGAAAGTAGAGCGTCCGAAGTCCGTATGATAGAAAAGACGCAACATAGCTGCTGAATAAGACCAGTCTGTTGAATAAGACCCAGTGCGCATGCTCTTACATACACGGGACTGACAGTCTTATTTATTGTTGAAAAATATTTCGGAGTGACTGACATAAAACTTTATTTCGATATTAAATGATTAAAAAAAAAATTATTTGAAAAAACCGTTCTACCTGTCACCCTCAGGCCTACCCTTATGGAGGATGGAGGTCTTTCTGCAACCTCCATCGCCTGGCGGACCGGAAGAGTTCTAAATATCTTCCGGTCCCGCTCCGCCGTCTCCTTCGCCAGCATTACTTAATCACATAAGGAGATGGCGGAGTTCCATGCGCTCTCGCTCTCGCATGGCCGCAATCCTGGTACTAAGCGAGAGAATATCCACTACGAAGGCCACCACGAGGTCAAGTACCTGCTGTAAGTAACGGCGTGCCGGAAATTTAAGTTACTCTGATTAAAAAAACAACTAATAATATTTGTAATGATGAAATTTGTTTTTTTCCAATACTTCTGAAAATGTATAATACTTTTGAATTCCCTTTCTTAGGATGAACACTGTCAATTGAATTGAATTTTTCTTTAACCAGGGTGTAACATGTTGGTATGTATAACAAAGAAAAAAAATAGCACGATACTATTCAATAAATTTATGTTATAAATTCGTTCAAGCAAAGTAATATTATAAAATTCATAATTGTTATTCAAAATCCGGGTCATCTGAAGTTGCATTAAGATCTTCAAACTCTGATAACTTGTGGGGGATCAGTGCAAGTAAAACCCAATAAACCATGATATCGAAACACATTTGATATGGATATTTTATTTTAACACCTATGACATGTACAAATTAATAGTCAGTTGTTTTTACTTTATGACACATATAATATAGCTTATAGACAGGCATAGATAGTGGCTACGGAGGTGTGCAACTCCTTACGTTATCACACTCCTCTTCACAGCTCACGGAGCCAACCCTAGACTGCTTCGTAGTTTTTCAAGTCTCGGACCAGCGAGGGGTTTGGTTAGCATGTCTGCCTCCATCTTCTCGGTTGGAAGATATCTAACCTTTATTTTTTCTTCTTGAATACAATTTCTAATGAAATGCATTTTTAGGTCAATATGTTTGGATTTAGCTGTCACCGTATTATTCTAACTAAGTTTTAGGGCAGCTTGATTGTCATTCAATATGACTATGCTCTTATAACTGATTCCTACGCCTTTTAAAATACCTTTTAGGTTTATGGCTTCTTTTGCAGCTTCAGTCAGTGCAACGTATTCCGCCTCTGCGGTCGACAGGGCTACGCTTCTTTGCTTTTTAGACATCCAGCTTATGGCCGTTCCTGCAAATTTAAAGCAATATCCTGAAAAGGATTTTCGATTAATCTTATTTGATCCCCAATCTGCATCTGCCATGCCGTATAATTCTTTGCCAGTTTTGTGGAACACCAGACCAACACTCTGTGTACCTTTTAAGTAACGTAGTACTCTTTTCAGACATTTAAAATGTTCTTCATCACAGTAATCGTTGAACTGAGAAAGGTAGCTTATAGCAAACATTATGTCTGGTCGAGTTGCGACCGCTATATACATAAGTGCCAATTACATTTTTTTACGGGGGCTCTTTGTTCGATTTATTTCTTTTTTCTGTAAAGTAATGCCTAGTTCTATCGGTGTGGATACTGGCTTACAGTCCTCCATTCCATACATCTTGAGGGTATCTAATATTATACGTTCTTGGTACAATTTAATTGTATCTTGGCCGTAAGTAACATCAATGCCCAGTAATCGCTTCGGCTCGCCTAAATCTTTTAATTCGAACTTAGAGCTTAGCTGGGTCTTTATTTTTTGAAGTTCTTTAGGGCTAGAGTAGGCAATCAAAAAATCGTCAACGTAGATGGCTATAATTATTTTTGCTCCTCTTATCTGTAGTCTATATAGACATGGATCTGCCTCTGAGGGAATGAAACCAATATTTTTTAATTCTACGTCAAGTTTCTTATGCCACTGCCTCCCAGACTGCTTTAGTCCGTACAGAGATTTTATTAAACGACATACTTTGTCTTTGGGAGTACGTTTTATATCCCTTAATATTTCTTTTGTTTTATTGTAAACAGTCAGGTCATCATTTCTGCTTTCTTCGACTAATATTTCAGTCAAATACTCTTCTAAATATTTAGGATATTTCATAGCTATGTGCTCTTCCAATTCACCATTCAAGTACGTTGTTGTTACGTCTATTTGGTTTAATTTTAGATTTTCTTCCATAGCTATTCCAAAACAGATCTGATTGAGCTTAACTTAGCGACCGGAGCATAAGTTTCATGATAATCGATGCCTGGCCGTTGGGAGAAACCTCGTGCTACGAGTCTCGCCTTTTTCTTTATATTATTGTCTGGTCCTACTTTATTACGTAATACCATTTTATAATCTATTTCCTTCACTTTTTTATCTTTCTTTTCTATTTTCCAAGTACCGTTTTTCACGTGTGCTCTAATTTCATCTTTTATTGCATCGTGCCAGTAGTCATCATATTCATCTCCATCAGACAAGAGAGATATTTCAGATAATAAACTTTCTTCAGTATTATTTACAACAAAATCCTTTGTCCACGCTGGGGGGTGCCTGTTTCTTTGTGGCCTCCCATGAACAGGTGTTTCTTCATTTTCTGAGGCATCATTGAAAGAATCTTCTGAAGATTCATAGCTTTCAATGCTAATAGGGTTTTGTAAGTTACTATCATTTTTACTTTCTATGAATTCAATTTCTACTGGTTCAGTATTTTTATTGTACTTATTTTTAGTTTTATTTACAATTTCAGGTAATGATGAACGTTGTTGATGTTCCTCTTCGTTTATGAGATTCTCACAGTTTTGAGTATTTTCTTCATAATACATTTTATCTAAAACTTTTATATCCCTACTGATAACTATATCATCTTCAGGTATGTATACTCTGTAGGCTTTTGAGGTCATTGAGTATCCCACAAATACGCCTTCTTTGGTATTTTGACTTAATTTGCCTCGTTTATTCTTTTTCAAAACATACGTCTTCCTGCCAAAAACAAAGATGATTACCTGATGGTGTTTTATTTATCCATTTTTTAAAGGGGATTTCACCTTTCAAAGTTTTAGAAGAGGTTCGATTGATCAAGTAGTTGGCAGTAGCTATTGCTTCTGCCCATAGCTTTTTAGGAGCATTTGCTTCGATCAAGAGACATCTGGCTTTTTCCAACAATGATCTATTTTTCCTCTCACTAATCCCATTTTGTTGTGGAGTGTATACAGTTGTCAATCTTCTTTTAATGCCACGTAATTTTAGAAAATCGTCAAACTCTTTATTTCTGTATTCTGTACCGTTATCTGACTGTAGGTATTTTATTTTCTTATTGTGTAGCTTGTCAACTTCACTTTTGTATTCCTTGAAGTATGAAAGTACCTCATTCTTCCTTTTTAGGAAATATTCTTGACAATAGCGTGTGTTATCATCTATAAAAGTAACATAATACCTCGATCCTGCCATCGTTTCACACTCAAATGATCCACAGACCGTTGTTTTTGTAGTGTCACATCACACACATCACATCAACAGCCTATAATAGTCCACTGCTGGACATAGGCCTCTCCTCAGAGAGGAGGTTTTGGTTTGTAGTGTATTTAGCAGTAATAAATTCTTTTTCATCCGATTCAATATAATATAGCCCATTTTTTCTTTGAGCTGTCAGTGTTATTTTACCATTATTTTCAATGACATATGCTTCATTCTTTTCGAATAAAACCTTGTGACCTTTTTCGGTTATTTTACCCACTGACATTAGGTTCACTGACAAGTCAGGAACGTATAAGGTTTCACTAAAATTATAACCTTCTTTCTCTATATTTATTTTTACTGTTCCTTTACCCTGAATTCCACTTGTGTATTTATTTGATGCCATCTTTAATGTGCCATTCTCAGCGGTTAAATTTAAAAACATTGATTTGTTGGCGCACATGTGCGATGAACAACCACTGTCAAGACACCAAATTCTTTCATTTGAACTTGGGTATGCAGTACTTAGGCAAACATTATAAGTGTTTGATGCTTTACCTTTTTCCTTTTTAATTATGTTCTTCTTATTGCCCCAACACACCTCAGTAGAGTGACCTTTCTTTTTGTAATTGTTACAATACAATTTTTGTTTATTTTTCTTTGAATAGTATGCTTCCTTCTCAGGTTTATCATTACTATTTCGAGCTTGACATTCCTCAAGAATTTTGACTTTTAAGTCTTCTGGATTTGGCAATGTATCTCTGGATTTAATAGCTATCCTAAAATTCTCGAATGTAGTCGGCAAACTGTACAGTAACATAATACTGAGTAATTCCGGTGGTATTTTTATATCCATGTCGGCAAGCTTGTCAACTGTGTCCATGAAATTATTTATATGATCATGGATGTCTTCACTAGCATTCATGCGTTTTAAGACAAGTTGTTTTAATAGAGTAGCTTTTCTAGCAGGCCCAGCACTTTGGTAAGTTGCTTTCAGTTTATCCCAAACAGCTTTTGCGGTGGAGCAGGCTTATTTGTTTTAACTCCGATGGTGACAGTAAAAGCAAAATGTCCGCTCTTGCTTTTAGATCGTCTTTTTGAAAAACAAGTTTTTCTTCTGGAGTTGGATTTGGCAATAATTTTCTTTCGCCGCTGACGATGTCCCAATAGTCATTTTTGATCAGGACCGCCTGTGCTTGCATACACCAGGTATTGTAATTTCACTTGTTCAGGAGTTCAATATTTCGATAACTCGATATATTCATTTTGGACTTACCCACGGGTTATACTTACGCATAACCACGCTCTGCTACCAATTTGTGGGGGATCAGTGCAAGTAAAACCCAATAAACGATGATATCGAAACACATTTGATATGGATATTTTATTTTAACACCTATGACATGTACAATTTAATAGTCAGTTGTTTGTACTTTATGAAACATATAATACAGCTTGTAAACAGGCATAGATAGTGGCTACGGAGGTGTGCAACTCCTTACGTTATCATAACTCTTCATTTACCTTTTCCGAAAATAATTAACAAACCCAATTAGTAAAACTAATGGTAAGGTCACATCCAACCGACTGATCGCGCGCAGCTGCTATGTTGCATCCTGTTCTATCACACGAACTTCGGACGCTCTACTTTCTCACTCGCACAAATTTAACACCTCTGATTTTAAAACTTTAAAGCATGACAATAATATTCCAAAAACGTTTTTTTGATGGCAAGCCTATACTATGTTGGTAATTAAATTTTCTTTCTGCTAATACCAATTTTTATTGGTTAACATATGGATGAAGTTCTTTATATTGACTTGCCTGTTCATACCTGCTTCCCAGGTAGCTATGAACAGAAATAAGTAGGCAACCCTACCAATGCTATTCCACAGAGTACATTGTAATATACGGCTATTCTCTATGTTAAAAACTATCTGTTGAGACTATCTGGTGATGATTTTTTAAAATTAAAATTAATTAAATTAAAAAGAGCCATAAACACCTTTCGATAGGCAAACTATCATAGGCGGCTTTATAAATCAATAAAATTTAATAAAAAATAGGTCTCATCTGGTTATCAGATGGGTGAAGGTCGATCTACCACGGGCTTTATTAGAGACATTAGCGGCAGGCTAATGTCAAATGTGTCATAATGAATAACCCTGGTCGCGATGTCAATTCTTGTATTTACTTGTGACGGGACCGAATATTTTTTCTGCGCTGGAAACTAGAGGTTTTCTTTTCATATTATTAAAAAATGATACCTATATCTAATCATCTTTCTTTGGTGTGCAAAAATATGGAAGTTATACGGATTCATTCAGTTTTATTTGAAATTATCCGTAGCCACTAAAGATAAAACTATTGAATTGATTACAAGACAAATACGAGAAAAGAATATTAGATGCTAGGCTATTTAAGTGTTTTTATTTTCGCTTTAGAAATCTTATCATGAAATCATACATAAATATATTATAAGTTACAGGTGAACAAATGTGACAATTACATTATTTTGGAGCCATGGATTTGTTGAAAACGCCCTCTGTCCAATCTCTGTTGGATTCTGATTTGGAATCGGTTGAAAGTCTTCAGTATTTGGATATTGAAGAGGTGAATACATTTATAAAATTTCGCATTTATAATATTAATATGGATTTCAGTGTCACATCCATTGAACTTCCTCACATTAGTGTTGAGTTTATTTAATATAATTTTAATTACCCCTCATTAGTTATCATCATCAGCCCATCGCCGTCCACTGCTGGACATAGACATCACGGACAAAGCCTTGTCCGAACAGCCGTTCATGACATATTTTAAAGGCTACTTAAAAACATTCTGCACAGAAGTTCAAGTCTAAACTATATTTCTATATTCTAAAGTATTTACTAAATTATTTAACCTTTTTTATAAAAAAAATATATTAAAAATATGTAATGTAATGTGGGTGTATGATATGATAAATGTCATACCTGTTATTATGCTTTTTACATCCACTAATCAATAAAATTCCTACATATCACAGGAAAGAGATTTTTTTTGGCTAGTAAGTAAGTTAAAGTGTAAATCGAAACATCTTCCTTTTTGATATAAATAATCCCAATCCTAATCCAAAATACCAATTGCTCAGTAAAATAGTTACATCAAAATATTATTATTTTAGTAACTTGAGTTTGTGGTGCATCGCTATTATTTGAAAAGCAGAACTTTTTTAGAATCTATCCCACTATTCCGGTTATATCTCACTTCTGATAGCGATTTGTTTTTTGTGAGGTCGCAGTTCTAACCTAACTTAACCTACTTTTCTGAAAGCAACTCATTTCTGACAGGGTCGCCTTAAACCCCAAAAAAATAGGTATTGGCCCACTATACCATGCTGGCTAGACAATGTGCAAAAATAGGTATTTTGTTTTATGTGTGAGTATGTATGTAACATTTGTATGATTTGATGAATTTGATGTGCAAAAAGCATATTTGATATGAAAATAAAATACAACTTTTTTTGTGGTGCATTAGAGGAAAAAATATAACATATTGATGCATATTTTTGGAAAATTTTAAGTACTAGTTAAAGATGTGGTTCGTTTGCATTACAATAACTATTTTGATGTAATAAATATTTAATTGATGTAAACAAGTTGACAGGTGATAAGTTTCTTGATGTGCATTTAAATAAGTCCTTTATTTTTCATGTATGTGATACATGTTTTATACATAAGATACATGAAAAAAAAATTTGCAATAATCCTAAAAGAAATAAGAGATTTAGGAGTAAGAGCAGCTTTTACTAAAGCATAGTAAAACCTGCTCTTGTTCCTAAGTTTCTTATTTTAAAAGCTACTCTTTCTCTCCTAAATTTATTTTTAAATTTAATGCTCCATAACCTTTGTGTCTAAAAGCTAATGTCATATCTGACTACAAAAAATTAAAGATAAAGTATTTGTTTTTTTTTTATAGCTATATTAAAATTAAATAAAAAGATATTATGTTGTAAAAATTACAAAAAATGCATCTTTCTTGTTTGTTGTATTCTTATTTATTTGTCTTTGTGGAAGCATGTTCAGTAAACTATGGGAGAGCTTTACTCTGGCACATAATTATGGGTCAGGCTTGACTGAAGTATTACATTACAGAGAAGACCGGTGTTAGCTACGTTTTTGTTGCTTTTCACTGAGTTAGTGAGATTAGGTTTGGGTTCTCTCCAAACCCCCATTCCCTTGTATTCACTTACTATGAGGTGACTTGTCTGCTGGTTTGCCCACCTATACCATAGAGAAAAACGTAAAACCTCTTTGGTATATCATGAAAGTATTGGGGATAGCGGATCTATAAGTATATTTAATTAATTTCCTGATTTCTCTGCAAAGAGAAAATAAATAAAAATAGTGTCAAATACTGTAGCTTTTTGAAATTTTCAAAAGAGTAAAATTGAATTTTATTTATTTATTTGTGTTTCACCTTATTTGATATTCGAAAATAAAAAGAAATAAACATGTTTGTCCTTTACCCAAAAAGATTAAGAACATATAAAATAAATGCTAGGCATAACTGATGAATTAGTTATATTTCAGTTAGATGAAATTGAATATGCACTGCCTGCAAGTGAGGCACCAACTCTAGCTGAAGTATTATCTACTGAAGAAGAAGAACCAAAACATAAAGAACCCAAACTTGTAGAAGAGCCAGCTACTTGTTCTGCCCTCCAAGTAGACTTCCTACAGGGAGTGTCTCAACAACTGCTACAAGCCCAAGTATGTTTTTTTATGTTATGTTAATGTCTTGTATTTATTTTTAAATTATTTATATATAAACCTTTTACAGCATTTGTCATGGCATGGTAAATGTATCAGTATGTAGTTACAATTTTTACTAAAAATAATGTAAAAGTAAATACTCAAACACAACATTAAGATATATACTATTTTCAGAACTGGCGCATTTTCTTATATAGATAAGACAAGCTGCCAGTCCCTGAATGGTAGGGATTGGCATCAAACAATCTGAAACTCGTCTAGTCCTGCTTAATTGCAATCTTCTCATTGTTATAAACTGATTAACTGATTTTAGGAAAGATCATCAGCGGGTTCTGCGACAGCCTTGAGCGTTGGGACAGACGCTAAATTGACTGTTGGAACGGCCCATGGCCATTTGCTGTCTTTTCACGACCAAACATTACGATGGGTCTGTGATTCCAACACTGATCGAGGCGCCGTATCGTGCTTAGCATATAATCAAGAATGCACTCGACTGCTTGCAGGCTATGCAAGAGGCCTTATATGCCAGTATGAAAGCATACGTGGAACAATATTGAGGCGGGTCACCTTAGGAGGTGAGATATGGGGCACCTTACGTGTAACATGGGCCGGTACCTCAGGTCTGGCGCTCGATACTGGCGGTTCCGTGTGGTTGATCAAGTTTTCGCGACCACTAGGTGTGCGTTCCGCCCGCACATCATGTCTGTTTTCGGGAGCTCGTGGAGAAGTCGTCGCTATGGCAGCTCGAGATGCTCGTATTTTAGCTTTGGCCACACTTTCACGAGTCATTATAGTGGCTGGCGGTCGAGCAGCAGGGTTACGTCTTATAGGTCCTGCCGATACTCTCCCAGTCTTAGAGTGGAGCGCAACTGATGAGCAAATATTAGTATGCGGCCGTGCAAAAACATTACAGTGGCTTTCACTTTCGGTTACTGGAACTAACATATCAATTAGACCAGTACAGCGAGTGGAATTGATATCAAGTCCTCTGTGGCTGGGGTGGCTTGGCGGCAATCTGGCTGTATTTGATGCAGATGAGAATTTACGGTTATGGGGAGAAGACTATGACAAACCTTTGGATCTTTCACATTTCGAACCAGTTTACGCCTCAGCTTTCTTTAAGGTATTTAGTTTTTATTAAATATTGTTCCTTAATCTATAAACTGCATTAAATACGTGTCAGAGTGGATTAGCATGACTATATGAGTTATTTATTAAATCCGTCAAATTATTATTGCAAGCCGTAATTGGGCAAGTGCCCCTCCTAAACAAAATAGCTATTTATTTATCGAAACTGCCTGCAAATATAACACATGGCAGGAATATCAATAATAGCATAAATTCACTATGTACTCATTAAATGTAACTGTGTTCTAGGGTCATTGGACAGACGGCCGCGTATCTCGAGCAATGTGTACAGCCGGTGTGAGCGCTCTAGGTGGGGCTTGTGTTTCAGAAGGAGCTCTTTCTTTACTCGGTCGCCGTGGAATTGTCCGCGTACGACCACGTCATCTCCTTGCCAGGGCACAAGCATTTTTATCTTCAGGGCGACATCTACACGCGTTGCGTTTGCTCTGTTCCACACAAGGAGCCGAAGCAAAGACTCTTGCAAATCAGTTCATAATAAACGTATCGGAAAGACCGCAGGTATTGAGCAATAAACAAATTGCAGACCAAACTGTCAAATTGTGCTTGAAGTATGATTTAACGTAAGTAATTTCGCTCTCTAGGTAAATTTACACTGTTTCGATATAAGTAAATACATTTAAAGTATTAATGTTTTTTTTTTCTAGAGAGGAGTTATGGAATCGTTTGTGGGATCAGTGTTCTAACGAAAAAGCATTTGTAGAAGCGTTAGGAGATGCCGCAGTGCGAGGCGAGTTGTCTGCCGCAGGACCGTCTCCGGACTGTACTCAGGTGATACACAATTGAAAGTTCTTCACAATCAATAAAAATGTCGAGCAGTGCAATTTTTACAGCGTTAGAAAATAAAATTGTTTATGACTAACAAACGGGTAGTAATTATGAGATAGATTTAGCTCAATTTAATCAATGAAATACGTTAGTTCATTTTAATTCGTTATGTTGAATTCATATTACTGAAACTTTACAGTTTCACTTTTATTTATTGTCAGTATGAGGTCACTAACCTATTCGTATCAAGAAATATATCGAAGTAATATAATTATATTTAAAATGTATTTATTGTTCTCTTAGGCACTCATCGAAAAACTGGCAGAGTTTGAGCCGGAGCTTGTGGACAGAGTAATAGCTTCCCTCCCTCTGACGTCACTTGATCCGCACCGAGCAAGCATCCTTACACGAGAGAAAGGATTGTGGCGAGCTGTTGGTGCTATTGCAGCAGCACTTGGTAATGTCCCTTATACATAGTAGTTTATTTAGAAATAAACAGTTCCCGGGATACTAGATATTCCACGTCAGACTTTCAGATGTATATGTATTAGACTTGCAACGAATAGTTTATTCGGCAGTATACCGAATACCGAATATTCGGCGAGGCCCCTGACCGAATAGCCGAATATTAGGCAAAAGTATTCGGCTGGATTTTAGCGCCAAAAACTTGTACAGACGTGAATTAAATTATTAAATTATGTACCAATGACTACTTAATAAATGATTATAAAAGAAATGAGAACCTTACCCTTCTAAATTTTGATTACCACAATAATTCAAATACATAGAATCCTCCATTTTTCCTATTCAGAAGATGATTATGTACATAAATATGATTATGTACTTAAATGATTATAACAGAAATGAAAATATGAATATAGACGTAATCAATCGATTTAAATTTTTCATTTTACCAATTATTTCTCAATGACAATATATATTATTTAAGTATTCGGTATTCGGCCGAATAATATGTAGATATTCGGTATTCGGCCGAATATAATAAAAGCAGCCGAATAGGCTGAATACCGAATAGTAACCGAATATTCGTTGCAAGTCTAATATGTATCAAGAAAATTAGACATTGTAGTAACAAATACATTTGTTACTCTTTCATGCCTTAAGTATATGTTAATGATGAAATGAAAGAAATAAAAGTAGCTTAAGTCACTTCTTTTTGTAATAAAAATCATTCTAACCGCTTCGGAGCTTAACCGCAACAAACAAACAGAGAGACAGACTTATACGAATGTTTTATCGTTTGCGTCGTATAATTATTTACACGGTACTCACTACTATGGCTACTCACTAAACGGTAAAGAAAATTATTTTGACAAAGTGACGCTTCAAACCCTAATCGTAACGTATCGGTATCATTATGTGGTTTCCGAGCAGGCGGTGGCGGCGGAGCCATGAGAGAGCTGATAAATTACGTGTCGCCTCGCTGCGGGCGCAGGAGCGGCGCGGCGGGGGCGGCGGGGGCGGCGGGCGCGCGCTGCTCGTGCGCGGGCTGCGCGCTCGTCGTGGCGGCCGCCGACGCGCTGGCGGGCCGCGGCGCCGCCGGCCGGGCCTTGCCGCACCACGCGCAGCCCTCCGCCCGACACGACGCTCTGCTGGCACTGCTCGACGATGAGGTGACGTTTGCTACCGGATTGTCTTCAGGATCAGGAAAAATTATAATCTACGTTTTGGATGAGGGATTACCGAGTTCAAAGTTATGCTCTTTAATAAATAGCTGTAAAGAAAAAAAGCGTGCGTGTTCTACCCTGCGTTTTAATTGATAACTATAATTAATCGACTATCGTTACCATCAACCGAATCGTTAAATTAAATCGATACAGTTTAATTGCATTTCCTACTTGCACTTAGGTGCACCCTATTTATATATTGACATTCCGAAGGTAATTCGTACATCAAATTCACCATTTAATATACTCTCATAAAAATGAAAAGACATCTTAGAAAATTATTTTAATTTATCGCTTATATATGTAATGTTCTTTGATTGAGTCGCTTTCGCTTTCTTAGTAAATTAGCATCTATCATTGCAAGCTATAATGTGATCAGCGAGGTTATCTGTAATTATATTATGTTATTTACAGACTGGCGGAGGTGGTCGTTCTCCTTTGAGAGTAATGGTAGAACATGATGCATCGGCTGCGGTTAGATTGCTCGAACAGAGCGCTCGCGACCCTCCATTCGTAGGACCGCTGGGGAAGCAAAACAGACTCAGAGTTGCACGGACCCTCCTATCCTTTGCTTATGAACTACCGGTAAGTTAAAAAAAAATTAAATCTTTATATTCAACCAAAGCAATGAAATCATAAAAATATATTTATTTATTACAGGATCCGGGCGATCGTGTGGAAGTTTTGGAGTTTTTAACTATGCAAGTAACTTCAGGTGCTTTACCAACCGATCAAGAGGTTATTCATCGTTTACGAGAACTTGCATCAAAAACAAACTGTGAAAGAGCAGATCGCGCTTGGCTTTTATTGTTAAATAAGGGTCGCATTCAACGGGATTTACTCGAAGACCAGTACATCGTAGCGGAAAATAGACCACGGGTGCTTTGGCACATAGATGCCTTATTAGAGCGCCATGGGAATGCACTTGAAGAGTTTTTTAAAATAGCCACACCATCGAGCACAGACGTAGACGAGCTATTTGAATACCTTCGGCCGTTGATTGACTCTACAGATGAAACGAAGAGGCATCTAGAGAAGCATCTACCGGCACTTATCAAACTTCGTCCCAAAGCTGCCGCCGGTCTCGCGGGTGATCACTTGGCCGACTCCTGCCTCTCCGTCCTTCGCGCGGCCTCCAGCGTCGAGGTGGTGGAGCTCGGGCAATGTCTACTGGAAGCCGGGCGACTCTCGGGTGACGCCGCCGCCGCGCATTTTAGAAATCTATGCCGGCTGCGACCGAACGACGTGCGAGCTTTTATGGCCGAAAACATCGGGCTACTGCGACCCGAAGAGGCGCTGACCATCGTACGCGAGGAGGGGCCGCCGGAGGCCGAGCCGTCGTGTCTCGAGGCCGTGGGCGATCCCGGCGCGGCGCTCGACGCTATTTTGCGTCTCGCGGCGTCCGTCGACGAGCGCGAGGCTTCCGTCCTCCTGGGCGAGGGCGCCGAGCTCTGCGCCCGGGCCGCAGCCGCTCTGCCGCCCGGGGACGCGGCCGAACTGTGGACGCGCCTCCTGAGTCGAGCGCGGGCGCCTCCACCCGCCTTGCTGCTCGAGGCCGCGGCCTACTTGCCCGTGGCTCAAATGTTGGAGGGCGCGTGCGAGTCGCCGCGAGCGGCGCTGGCGTTGCTGACGTGCGCGGCCCTCCGCCGCATAGCGTGGAGCGCTGCGGCGCGGGCGACGGCGCGCGAGGCGCACGAGCGGCTGGCGCGCGCGCTGGCGGCGGCGCGGCGCGGCCTGGCGGTGCGCGGGCGCTGCGTGCGCTGCGGCCGGCGCCTGGCCGAGCGGCCCGTGCGCACGGGCCATTGCGCGCGCGCCACGCACGTGGAGTGCGAGGCGGAGGGGAGCTGCGGCGCGTGCGGACGACGCGTGCCCTCCGCTTCGGTGACGTTGGCCTCTCGAGCTCCGCGGCACCGAGAATCACCGCCGCCTCACGACTTCGAACTTTATTTAGTAGCCCCGCCGCGTCCCGATCTCGAAGGATCGATTTGATCCGTTCCCTTAAGAACATATTACTATTGTAAGTTTATCCCAAATATATTATTATATCGAATTTAAATAAATATTCTTTCGTTTCGTTTAGTATTTCTTTAATTTGTAAAACTAGATGTCGAAACCCAAAACGGTGCTGTATTAACGTGTTATCATGCGTTAAAAAGAAGTTTTCAAGAAAAACTGAATATCTTCCAAAACTATTAAAATCGTTAGAAAAAATTAGTTTTTCTTGCAACGATTTTAATAGGACAAACATGACGTTTTAATTTTCAGAGCAGGTTTCAGACGACCTATAAAAATATACTTACGAGTATTATCTTTATATACAGGTGTGCCAAAATTCAACGTCAAGCGGTGAGCGCCTTACTTCTGGTAAAAATATTTAAAAAATGACATTTTTTTAAATTTTATTGAAAATCGATGAAAACTAGGACTACTTTTTCAGTGAGTGGGCGTGAATAGATAATTTCTTTTTTGTATCAGTAGCGTGAATGGTCCCTCTGTCAGTTACAATTATGAGTAAAACCAGGTTCAATATCTCAAATAAAAAGACATTTCTTTTGATGATTTATTAAACTTCAGATTCATTTTTAATGTTTTTACCACAGAAGTAAGGCGCTCACCTACCATGCCCTCACTGCTTGACGTTGAATTTCGGGATACCCTGCAGGGTATCCCCGAAATTTATATACACCGTGTAAGGGACATCGTGACGAACACTGAAATAGCGTATCCAGAACATCATTCTGAGTCGAAAATCATTGGAATATTCAACCGGAAAATTCATCAATTTTATTTTAATTTTCCTTTTTTTTTGGTTAAAAATGATATCGCAATGAGTAAACAGAACGTAGAAGAAAAAAATGGTACCAAAAATTAGTGTATGACGTGAGGTAATTCAAATCACACATCACATCAACAGCCTTTAATAGTCCACTGCTGAACATAGGCCTCTCCTTAGAAAGGAGGTTTTGGCCTACTATACCACGCTGGCCAGGCGGGTTGGTATAGAGTTTGTATCAAATTTTCCTTCTCTGTTTATACCGAAGGTAAAAACAGATTTAAAAAAAGCCATACCATTCAGAAGATATAAATATAAACGTAAAATTAGGTTATTAGCTGCGGCCGCCCAACGCGTGCAGGTGGGCTGGGCGTCGGTCCGTACCGAAGCGTTGAAATGCCTTGAAATGGGACACGTCAGGGTAAAATGCTCAGGTCACCCTGACAGGAGTGGGCACTGCTTCCGCTGCGGAGAATTGGGCCATAAGGCCCGAGACTGCGCAGCGAACGCACTGAGGTGTCCGGTGTGCAGCGACCACGGCCGGCCCGCCAACCATCGGCTGGGTAGCAAGAGCTGTTGCCCACCGAAGAAGCAAAGGAGGGGAGAGGTCCAGCCTCGCCCCGCCTTTGCCCGATCGGGACAGCCAGAGTCGAGTGGTAACTCGACGGGAGAGGCAATGGAGGCTTAACATTCCCACCACACGCAAGGGTTCTCCAGGGCAACCTCAACCACTGCCGCGCAGCGTAGGATCTATTGATCCAGACGCTCGCGGAGCAGTCGGTTGCCCTGGCAGTCATTGCAGAGCCCTATACCGTCCCGGACCATCCGCGTTGGTTCGGGGCGGTCGATGGCTCAGCGGCCATTTATTGGCCAGGTGGGGAAGGCTTTCATTGCTCTCTCCTAAGAAAGGGTGCTGGCTTCGTGGCAGTGGGATGGGGATTAACAGTGGTGGTGGGGTGTTACTTCTCTCCCAATCGTGGCCTAGCCGAATATGAGGCATACCTGCACGGGTTGGCAATCTGCATTCGCAGCTACGCCTCCCGTCCGGTATTCGTCATGGGTGACTTCAACGCCCACTCAAGGGAGTGGGGTAACACTCAGGACGATGCGAGGGGAGAGACTATCCTAGAGTGGGCGGCTGGACTGGACTTCCGACTACTAAATCGGGGCTCAGTTAGCACCTGTGTGCGATGGCAGGGGGAGGGGTCGCTAACTCCCCAATCGCCGCCTAAGGGTCGCTGCGGCCACATCATGGGGCGATGTGACCGTAAACGACCCGAGACAGATGACACTTCGGTGCGGCCGGGACGTCGTTGCGCCTTTTACTCTGTAGAGCAGTGAGAGGCGCGGTAGCGTCCTACCCCAGGGTGACTACGGTCACTCCGGGATGTGCCTCAGACATGAGGTACGGCAGGGAGGACTCCAGAAGTCGCCGATGCGCTCCTGGAGCTCCTCCCGACTGCCGAGGTAGGCCGCCGCGGGGTTTAGTGGGTAAACCGGTTCTCCGGGAGTCCACACACGCCCTGCGTTTCCCCAACGGAGGGTATGGGGCGAAAAGCATTCCCCGCGTGAAAAAAAAAATAGGTTATTAGGTTCTATTACTTAGTGCTTAAGCACTAGGGTCTAGTTTATAACGTTTATACATACCTTGTAAGCATCTACAACGTCTTACCAAGTATCATTGATATACTCTTAGTAATTAATGAGCTATGGGATAATTTACCATGACTGGAACACTGTTTCAAATGGAATATTATGCAGTCTTATTGCACGAGATTCTAAAGTATATGCGTTATAAAACCTATTCCAATAATTAGTGCATTAATTCAACTATGCATATGTAAAATTTCATTTCTTTACACTAAATAATTTACAAAATACAATTAAAATACTGATAATCGCCGCAATTAGTACATAACCCTACTGAGTTCGGATGGCTACTAAAAAGTTTATTGACGCACAAATTTCATTTAAACATACAAAATTACCTCAGGTCATACACAACTTTTTGACACCTTTTTTTCTTCTACGTCCATGGAATAAAAAAAGTGTCGCTGGGACAACGTTGTCACAGCGGCACTTTTTCGAAATAGTTTTTCGTAATAACTCCGCAATGGTTGGATGCACAAGTTTTTACTTATCATACACAATTACACGACGTCATACACTAAATATCTGTTAATCTCAAACAATATAATTCGAACTTTTTCGAATATTTCTAGAAGCAGCGATACCGCTAAGGTTTTAATTAAGTGGGAATTTACAATGGCAAACCGTAACGCGGTTGTAGCAGTAAATAGAACATTACGTGATATTAAGCAAAACGACCAACCGATGGGTGCTATTACAATATTTTTTATGTTGCGACTTTCGTCAGTAAGTAATCTTAGTAGTAGGGGAGCCCATGATGCTAAATCGGGATTTACTCAATCGTCATGGGGACCTGTTTCATTTGAAAGATTAGGTAATAGAATGAATAAAACTTATATTATGTTTTCACTTTCAGCGGTGGACAAGGCTTCTACAGCTTTTCAAAAATATAAGGGGAGGAAATGGAAAAAAAAAATTCGGGCGCATCAGATATTTTATGTTATTTGGACACCAAAAATGCTCCTGTTCAAAGGTCTGACGATTTTAAAGTGACACAAGCTGGTAGCGAATTATCGAAAATGCAAACTGCAAATTTGAAAAATCGCCATTTCGAAATACCAGACCTTATATTAGTGTATTATCTATGTACCAGACCGTGTTAGATTTTATACAGACGGTTTAGCTTGATGTTCCTGTCATACTAGCCAAAAATTTGACGATAATTTTGCAGAGTATTTTAAATCTGACGGTTTGAAATATTTAGATTTTTTATAAAATTTATTTATTTATTTATTTTCTTTAAAAACAACTATTTTTACAGGCTTAGCCCAATGCAATAGTGTTATACCATCTACTTATTTATTATAAGAAATAATTCTTAATGCTGTTATTGTGAATTCACTCAGTGAGCAATAAAATAAATCTACTTCATCCGCAATTATATTCAGAGTATGTAGTAAAATGTGACAAATAAAATGTATCATTCAAGTTATCAGTAAAATGAACAATTATTTTATTAACTGTATTTTAAACCAATGTGACAATTAATCTGACATTGCACGTACTAGTGAATTTTACTTACCAGTAAGTTGATCCGAAAATACCTAACCTAAGTCATTTTTGAGTGTTCAGTCAGTTCATCATCATCTCAGCAGAAAGATGAGATTTGCCGTTGGAGACGGGGCCAGCACTGGACCGGTTGTTGTGTGTTGTGCTGGAACTTTGGGGGAGGCCTATGTCCAGCAGTGGACGTCTTTCGGTTGAGAAAATGAAACGTCAGTTACGAAACAATTTCTTATCTGAATACTTCCTGAATTCGAATAATTCACATCACCCTATAATAACATAATACCAACTATGTTTAAGTAAATTAAGTATAGCTTGTATTATGACTTCTAGAATACGAATAAATAGTTGATATTTTATAAAAACTCAGATCGATTCGATGGTCACCCCGCCCCGTCACACCCTTGATGTAACAGTCGAATGCACTACAACCTCGCCGGAGGTTATCATGACTGACAGTTCTACAGTTCGATAGTAGTTTGCGTGAACTAGATGTCAATGAGTCAAGAGTGCCTTTTGCTGGACTTTTTATAAATACCCCGTCCCGTAACACACGGCAAGAAAGATATATATGTCCCAATAACTTCAAATTGATAAAGTTAGATATGAATTATGAGAATTATTTACTGTAATTTAATTTTTAATGTGTAGTTTCATTGTATGAGAGGAACCTAACTAGTGTGTGTCTGTCGTGTGGTTCTTGTTATTTGCGGCCCTTCTCCTTCCTCGTCCTCATCCTCTCCCTCTTACCCGTCGTATGCTTAATGTATGTTGTGTGTCCCGTGTATGTGCTATGTTGAGAGGGTCTAGAAGGTCTGAGGATTGCGGTATGTCTGGCGATTGTTGCGAGCCCTGTGGTTGTGGGTCCTGTGACTGATGCATGTTTTGCGATTCCTGGGTGTTTTGTGTATGTTGGTCCTGTGTGCTGTGTATGAATACCGTATCTCCCAAAACTTTACTGAGTATAGTCACTGTGTGTATGGCTGCTTGTTTTTGAAGGATGGTTATGTCGATGTTGGCTCCTAATTTATCTATGTATTTCTTTATGCTTTTAGCGACT